AATCTTGACTCGTCGCTTTTTTCGACTATGGCTGTTATGCGCCCCTTCATACAATGTATCTTCACAGCAGGTTGCATTTCAGGTTTGGAGCCAAATTCTTGTTGCACAAATAACAGATCTCCTAACTTCCAACCTCCATGAAAGTAAGCATCACCATAGAGGATCTCCAACTGTCATTAGGGTGCGCCCAATTAATGAATGAATAATATTGCCTTTCATTCCAAAATGACTCTACCGCAGTCCCTGCATCTAAAGCTTCATCATTATTGTCTAAATGAATACCACCGCAAATAATAATTGTTTAAAGCAAAAGTCCAAATTTAGTGCCTTACCACTACTGACTGGGTCAACATGAAGTGGTGACATGGCTGGGGTACCCAGGCGTACAACGCTCGTGTCAGCGTCAAAATTTCCATCCACGTCAGTGTCCGACGAATCACCTTGTGGAATAGCACTTTCAGATTCTCCCTTATCTTCGCTGTCCACATACTCCTCATCTTCATCCTCTTCATCCTCATCCAATTTTACCTGAGCAGGTGCATATGATCGTACAATTGTATCTTCTTGACCAGTCCAGTGCGCAGTGGTTGTATGCACCGGTAACGATGAAGACTGACCAGCATCAACTTCAACATATATCTCAATCATTTTTAATACTTTCCTTCCAACAAGCGCATCTGTGACGAACTCCACATCTTCATCATCATTGATATCATTACCAATGTAGTATATTGTATCCATATCCACTACAGTCTCTAACCTGACTATCATGCGGTGGATGGATTGGGTGCCTTCTAACCCCATTTTTTGGAGAATTCTCTCCTTCAGTTCATTCCTTCAAATCGGACACCGTTCAGACCTTCAAAATGCCTCCCATTGTAGTAAATAACTATAGGAACCATGTTTAGACTTGAACTCATCTTTCACACGAAATTTTGGGTCTAGGATTTAGGATTGGATCTTGGTTCGGATTTTTTAGCACAAAATGGGAACGTGGAGGTGTAATGCCAATGTCCTACCAAGATTAAGCTTTTTGAGATGATGAGATGAAAAATGTGTGATGTTGCAGAATAGGGATGTCAAGGGGGAGAGATTTGAGAAAAAAAAAACTTTAACTCGCAACAATGGCCAAAACCCATTGATATTGGGATTTCTGGCCGACATTTACCCGGGTATCACCCTCCCTACCCGGGTAAATAATTCAAGCAAATTCCCAAATTTAAGAACTATACCTGGGTATCACCCTCCCTACCCGGGTATGGTTGAATTTTCAAAAAAATACCCGGGTAGGCTTGATGGTCAACGGTCAAACAAGGGCAGATTGGTGTTATATTTTTTGTAGGGGTTAATTTTTCGAAATAGTTTCTGATCAAGGGAAATTTGGTAATTAATTATTAATAAAGGGCTACAGTGGTCAAAAAGCCTGTTTGTGTGCTAGAATTAAGTCAGTTTTTTAAAGGGGTGAATTATGTCACTATACCAGTAAGTATAGAGCTAAACTAATAGATGAGTCACTGTAAGTGGATTTCAGGCAAAAGCTGAGAATTAATGAGAAGGTGTATGGCAAGAGGGAGGGTATAGGGCAAGGTGACTGTTGTGGTTATATTCTGGCATAGTAACAGTGGGTGATTGATTGAATATGCAAGAAATACCTCCTTTATGATAGACGTGTAAATGAACCACACAGTCTATCAAGAGCTTATAATCTGACTTTCATCTAGTCAGATCTAACCTGATATATTTAATAAAATAGAACAAGCATGAGCTTTAAAAAAGCTCATTTTGAAAATAAATTATAGGCTTACTTTTATATAAGTTAAGTTTATATGTCCACATATATTATATTATTTATTTGAATTAAAATGAAATAAAATATTTAATAAAAACAATCATAATTAAAAATATTATATTACTTTATTTATTTTATCTAATTCTTATAAGTATTAAGAGCATGATCGGTTTAAATAGATTAATATGCCTAGGCCCAGATTTTTAATTTTTAAATATAAATCAGGTTAGGCTTATAATTAATTTGGGTTTAAATTTTTTCATACAATAGGAGATAGGTATCTTATGCTATAGACACATATTATGTGGGGCCCACATCTATTAAAAAAAAGATTATTATATGAAAATCGAAGTGTCACTGATAGGAGAGAACAACTCTCCTACAATATGAGAAAACGTTTTTCCAATTAACTTATATCATGCTAATAAGCCAAGTTAGACTCAAAATATTTTATGTAAATTTAATCTATTTAGGTTAAAGTCTAGTTTGATCCAATCCATTTATACCGATATTCAATGGTAATAAGAGATATTCATAGGTGAAAAAATTCCCTAATGATGAAAAATAAATAACCATAATCGATTTGCCCACGAGTCCCACAACACTAAGGGGGTGTTTGGTATCAAGCTTTTGTTTAGAATGATGGGGAAGTGAGGTGGGGAATGTTTTTTTATCTATGTTTGGTATAAGGTATCCTGATTTATTCCATGCAAAAAAATTCTCCAGTCAATCCATATTTACACCTAGCACCAGAAAAAAAGAATGCTCATTAACTTGTGGTATTTTTTTTAGCCCTTGTACTTTGATTGTGATTCAAACAAATTAAGACCATAATACCCTCGTGATATATATGCAGACGTAAATAGATACAACAGAGAAGCATAATTTAGTCATTTTACTTCAAAATCCCATCAATATTTTATCATCAAACAAACACAACATCAATAAAATTAACCCAACTTTTCTAGTATAATTTTGGCATACCAAACATTTATTCATAACTTATCTGGGTAAAAATGTTTACCATCATATTTTTAGAAGAAAAAAAAATCTCCTATACCAAACGCCTCTAAAATATGAGACAAACACCCCTTATGTGATGCATGAGGTGTGTGTGATGCGGGAATAAGATTTGGTGAATGTGGTGAGCTAACATGTTAAGTGGATCTAAAAACCTGGATGAAATATATTTAAATTAGCCCGAGTTCAACATAATATTTTGATCATATAAGTTTTATAGACTCAATTTGATTTGATGTTATTGCCACCGAACATGCAAGAGGGATACACTGAGGGAGGGAAATTACCTTCTTGTACAGAAAAAGACAAAAGTAAAAAGTAAATGTAATAAAAACAGAGGAAGATTATATTACAATTTTTTAGAATCATATCTTAATATCGTTGATTTTCGTCAATCAACGGTTATCATTTATCGTGAATTAATAATTAATTAATGAGTTTAATTTGCGAAAATTATAGTCGTTGATTGATGGAAATCAATAGTATTAATATATAGTTGTAAGAAGTGATAAAAAAAAAATTGTAAGTAGTCTTTCTTTTTTAAAAAAGAAGCTAAGTATAGTAACTCAATGGCCTCAGCAATAATTGCATTTGACATAGACTAAAAATGATGTTGATGTGGAACCCCGTAATGAAAACACCAGCAACGTTGCAGGGAAGGGGCCACCGTAGGAATCTTGGCCTAACTAGTTTCAGACAGGTCCATCCATGTTTAGTTTGAAATAATCAACAAGTGGGCAACGCTGGGATAAAAGCTCCTCATCTCATACAATCTTTCCCAAAGCGGGGATGGCTTTGCAATGTACGAATGACCAGCCTGGTGTATCTAACAAAGTAGTGGACGATGTTTTGTTGTTTGCTTTCCTTTCTATCCAAAAAAAAAAAAAAAACAAAGTAGTGGACGATATTACCAAGTATCTCAGACCTAGCAAAGATGACAACAGTTTTCCTAAGAATTTGGATGAGCAACGCAAAGAGAATATTCTAATCAGAAGCTTAAACTCAAAGTAATAAAATTACTATCCAAATTTATAGACTTAATTTTAATTTATTGACCTGATCTTTAATTACCTGCTTAACATCAATATCTTTAATAATAATTTAAACAAAAAAATAAATAAATTCAGACACTAACATTTCATGCGGATGTGAACAAATAGAAGTTTGGTACGTATGACAAGGGGAAAAAAAATTAAAATATTGTAATTTAAATAAATAATTATAAATTTATAGCTATTTTTATATTATTTATGAATATATTGTAATGTTTCACATCCAGATTGGTCATGCCTAAATTGGATATGACCTAAGTGGCATTCACGCTTGAGTGAGGCGTGCCTGATAATACCCAATCAAGGTGTAAGATCTTGTAATATATTCAGAAATAATATGAGAATAATTATATATTTGTAATTATTTACTTAAATTATAATATTTTAATTTTTTATCCTATAACAAGTGATTAGTATTGTTCTACTCGTGAAAATTTTGAATAGGTTATATTAAACTATGTGTTCAATTCTCATTTGCATTAAAAGTAAAAAAGCATATGATCCACGAGTTGTCCCATCCGTTGATTTATCAGTGCACAACTAACAGTTCAACAGCTTTTAACACGTGATATGTACACGTTGAAATGAATTCAAAATGTTTTTTAAAATTCAAAATGTGCGCGGGGTTAATTTTCCTTTATGTACAATCGTTTTCAAATCTATTCCCACTATTTGTTGTCATCGTAATATTTAGGGATTTGTATCTGTCATTCAATATGACATACACAACATTTTGTGGAACTTATATTTTTTGAAGAAAAAAAAAAATTATGACACACAAAATGAATATCTATAACATTACATAATCAAATTTTCCTACGAGATAACTCTTATAAAACCCTAATATCTAATATTAAGTCGTTACGAAGTATTAACATAACACAAATTGATTATATAATTCAAGTAAGTATTGCAAGTTCTAAGTAAAAAATATCAATCATGATTCACGAGCCTCCATTGCTTTCTCAAGTAACCTAATTTCTCCATCTAAATTCTAAAATAATAGTTTAATATAACCAGCCCTCTATCATTGAAGCCTCTATCATTGAAGCTACAGTTCTCAACTCTCTCTCTCTCGCCTATATAATTCATTCATTTCATACCACACCACCTGTACCTTCTTCCCAACTTTGACTCTGCTCTCTTCTTTTTCTTCTTCTTCTTCTTATTCTTGACTTTTAAGTTCAAGTTTTTCACCATGGTTGGAGCTGTTCTTATAAATGGTGGCAAGTCAACGGTTCGTCTTTCATGCATATCAAATAAAACCCATTCTCACTTACCTCTTAAGCCCACTGTGGTCAAAATAACCAATCGTAATTCCTATCGGGATTCCTTGCAGGCTGACATTGAAGCCCATCTCAAGCAGACCATTCCCATGAAAGAACCACTCGTGGTTTTCGAGCCCATGAACCACCTGGTTTTCGCCTCTCCCAGAACCACCGTGCCGGCTCTATGCCTCGCCGCCTGTGAGTTTGTCGGCGGCCAGCGCCACCAAGCCATGGCCGCGGCTTCAGCCTTGTTACTCTTGCAAGCAGCTACTTACACCCATGAGCACCTTCCACTAACAGACAAGCCCAGGCCCATGTTAGAGCCCGAGCCCGAGCCCATGATCCCTCGTGCGTTCAGTCCCGACATTCATCTTATGACCGGCGATGGTATTGTTCCGTTTGGATTTGAGCTCTTAGCAAGATCCGATGACCCGGCCCAAGGTAATTCGGAGCGGATCTTGCGCGTGATCATTGAGATCTCACGTTCGGTGGGTTCCGTTGGTGTGATAGACGCGCAGTACCGGAAAACCCAATCGGACGGCAGGGAGTGTCGGCACGTGGAAAGCATCAAGCGGGTTGTGGAAAAAAACGAAGGTGGGTTGCACGCGTGTGGGGCTGCATGTGGAGCTGTGTTAGGAAGTGGTAGTGAGGAGGACATTGAGAGATTGAGGAAATATGGGTTTTATGTGGGGATGATACAAGGAATGCTGCTAAATGGATTAAGGGAAGAAGTTGAAGAGGCCAGAAATCTGGCACTCATAGAATTGCAATTTTTCAAGGATAGAGACATTGATGCAATTTCTAGTTTCATTAATGTCTAAATCTTGATTGATTAATAAGAAAAGCAAATTAAGATTATCCCAACCCAACTCAAACCTAGTATATAGTTATTCAATTATTGCTCATATGCAGGGAGTAATGTTTTGCTCGCCCCCAATCAGTGGAAAAAACTTTGATTAGAGTGAATTTAAAATATATATTTTTGTCATGCTCTAATAAATAATATTTATTTGGAAACTTTGACCGAATTGATATAGTTTTAACAATGAAGATGGATCATGAAACATACTTCCTAACAAATCAAATTAAGCCTTAATACAACAATAACAACGATGTCTTATCCCAGGAGGGGGCGTTGACTACATGAATTATAATCCATTCCATTGAATTCTATCAAAAATAAAACTAACAACAAAACCATTTAAAGCAATGTTTTTTTTTATGATTTTTTGTAAAGTTTTCCGAGTCTTCCTCTACCCAGTTATGAACAAGAGAGGATCCAAATCCTCATATAATATAATACCCTTTGTATACCTTCCACAATCAAATCCAAGAGATCCACCAAATAAGTAGGCCATCACATTGGTTGGTATGGCAAGAGGGATATGTGTATCCGTTATTAACTCAAAATTCTTCAAGCTAGTGAAAGGAGAAGACTGACCATACCGTAGAGGATGAACCACAGAGAGAACCTAGGAAAAATCAAAGACAGACCAAAGAGTTAGTTCAAAGAACAGTAAGCAATCAACTATTAATTAATTCAATGGCCTTGGTCATTGGATCGACAAAGTAATATACTTACATGAATGATACGAGGTGATAAGGATACAAACTTTGCACTCCCTATCGCTTCAAACAATTTACTCATCTTAAGAGACAAATTAGTGGCCTTGGTGAATTCTTCGTTGGGCCGAAAATCGCCTAAATCAATATTCTCTCTCTCTACAAAGGAAAGTTTTCCCTTAATGGAAAAATCACAAAGATAATAGTTGTCACTATAGTTAAAAGATTGAATCTTTGGAGTAAAAAGCTCAATCGCAAAGCCTGATTCCTTTCGCATATTGGATATGGTCAAGTCCGTCAGTTGGGGAGCATGGATTTGAAACTTGTGAATATTGCCAACGTAAGAACAATCAAGTAGGGACAGACACCTCAAATTGGGACAACCGCTGAAAGGATCATTCTCTCCGACCTTATACTCGAACTTGCATTGAAAAAGATACAAGTGTTGTAGGGAAACATAATCAAACATTGCGCTGTTAGTTACTATGCCGGCCAGGTGGAGGGTAGTGAGGTAACGACAAACAGAGAGTTGAGGTAGATTCCAAATAAAGCATTTAGTAGTGATGCTCAGTTCCTGAATGTCCGTTGGTTTAACGTAGTCAATGATGGAATCTACGATGTGCACGTCATCAAGAACATCAAGAAGATCGTCGAACACAAGTTTAAGCATGTTGAGATTGGTGGAAGCGTCTCTGCTTTACAACACATGTTGCACGAAATATTGGAAGAGGACAGGATCATCGAAGGACGAGTTGAGGAAATTAAGGATGGGGAGGGAAGTCCAAAGGGACTTCCATCGCTTGCTCGGAACACTCGTTTGAACTGTTGTTTTTGCGTCCTAAAAAGAAAGTATGTGAATGATAATTTCATCTGGCAAGTTACTCAGTCTGTCCTCCTTCACTTTTCTCTTCTTCTTCTTCTATGTGTTTATGTTTTGTTGTGTTTCCACCCTCCAACTCTCTTCCTCAATCGAAGCCTTCATCTTCCCACAAAAGAATCAATAAACGCAAGAACCTCTTCTTTAATTTCTTTCTCTTTTTCAACCGTTTAATTAGAGCTTTTCTACTCCTTTCCTAATTTACAGTTGCTAGCTGTTCAAGTAGATATCTTGATTTCCTTGCCAAAACTACCCCTTTAATCCTAATTTCAATTTTTTTTTTTTGCCAATCTCATCAAAATCTTTCTAAATCTTTTATCAATTTTACATTATTTTGATATGATTTTCGAAATCTTTCCAAATTTAAAAATATTAAATTTATTATCAATATAACTGATTTGGTAATTGAATTTTTTTTCTTTTAATTTTCACCCAAAAAGTTTAATATTAGATATTATTTAGTAAATCATTTCATAATTATTTTTACATTTAATAAATGGGAAAGGTTAAGGTTATTCGTTAAATTTTTTGACAAAAAATATTTTCGTCGAAATTTTTAAGGAAACATATTTCCTTTGAAAATTTTCAACGGAACACGTTTCTTTCAAAAAAATTTGACAGAAAATATTTCAGTAAAAAATTTTGACGAAAAAAATATTCTGTCAATAATATTGCGCCGTATGAGCTTTTATGCATGATGGATACATTGCGCATTTCACAGGACCTATATGTTTTTGGGTCTATTATGGGCTTTAACCCTTTGTGGACCTATTGTAGTTTATCTAGATCAACACCATTAATGCAAAACTTAATATGATGTGATCTATTTTCACTTCTACATCTTTGCTTACCTACCCCTATTATTAAAAAAGAGAATTTTCAAAGACAGGGCAACTAGAGTTTAGGCAGATAATTTTTTTTTTGGTTTCCCAAGGTATACTCCAGCCGACAGCCGAAGACTAATCTTTTCGAGGCGGGAGATCACAACATTAAGTGGGTAAACCTCTCCCAACAAAGCCTTCTCCATACACACGGTCAGGAATCGAACCTCTATCAGCATGCTTGAGGAACCCAACTATCTACTAACTGTGCTGAGTCTGTAAGTTTGGAGAAATGAATTTGTAAATATCACGTCTAAAAAAAAAGTAATGGAGATACGTTATTATAATATTTACAAATGTTTGTTTGAACACTAACATTATATTACGTTTAATTAATTTTTTAACTCATTTAGTTTAGACTTTATACAAACAATTAATTCATCTAAATTTAAGTGAAATTTCAAACAACTTTGATAGAAATGATAATGTTACATCTTATACAAAATGATTGTTTGTAACTTAGATCGAATTAGTTGATTAATTGAAATTGACGGGAGGAACTGAGTCTCTTGAAAGTACACATGTCATTAAATTGAATATTTATTAGGATACAAAAAAAAATTGATTATTTATTTATAAATACATTAAAATAATTTTAAAGTGATAAAGCTATTGAAAATTTAATTATTTTTGAAAAACCAATTTAATGTTTAGAATAAATAAAAAACAAGGGGCGAGTCTTCAAGAGGTTGCATTAATCCAAAGGACACCAGTCTTCAACGTTTACGTGCTGGAATGTTTTGCCACAATTTTCTCAAAGATGTAGTTTGAAATATATCAGTTCATTGATTATTCAATTAGTTTTTTTTTTTTTTTTTATATAATTATTCAATTAGTTTGATTTAAGTATTGTTGGACTCGTTATAAAGGGGGACTCTTCTAAGATTATTTTTTCCATTATTAGGGTTCAAACTTGAGATTTTTTTTTTGGAAAATAAAACTCAAACTCAAGATATTTGATTAAGGAAAACACACTCAATTTTTTAAGAATTTGCTTGAGGGCATGGTTTGAACCCCTGACTCAAGCAAATCCTTGGGGTAATGTTTGGTAGAAAATTTATTTTGGGATTGATGGAAAAATGTAAGTGGATATTAAAAAATATCACGTTTGGTTCAGGTTTTTGAAAAAAATACTAGGCAAATAGGATAGATGGGGAAATGACTTTTGTGTTGATTTTTGGATGAAATTCACTGTTACAGAATACCACTTGAGATGTGGTATTTTGAGATAACTAGAGAAGTGAAAAAACAGATGTGAAGTTTCTCCCGAACATAGATTTTGCAAATTTAAATAAATTTCTCTGGTAATATTTCGGTCAATCAAACAATTTTTTTTACATTTTCCTACCAAACTCATTTTCCAACCATTTCCCTAGTAATTACATTTCTCTAGTATTCAAATTTTTTTTCCTCAACCAAATACTCCCTGAAAGTTTAGTTGTCAACTAATCTATCTTTGCGTGTTAACTCCTTATTACTCGAAACAATGGTTATCCGTCTATAACATGTAGTTTATTTCGAGAACCATTTAAACATTGAACCTAGTGGCCAAGAAGTTTTATACGTTCGATACTATCATACTACGATATTACTTTCTCAATTTTAATGGGCTAAATTTTTTTTTAGAGTCAATTATTATTATTTTAAATATCAATTAATATTTATAGTCGTAATAAACTCGATTAATCAAATTTTGAGTTCGTACCTCTTCATTATTTTCTAAAAATTGCGACTCTCGTGGTTTAAAGTCATTATTCTTTACACAAATCAAAAATCAGGAAAAAATATTTATCTTTTTAATAAAATAACTTATATCATTTCTCTCTCATGAAGATGTGAGACTCACACTTTTATATTTTTTTTTGTCTATTCTTACTTTTTTATTTATTTCTTCCTCTCACTTAAAATAACATAACTTTACATCTTTTTAAAATGATACACACTTTTTCCATCAAATCACGAAATCTAACAGAGTCCTGGATCAATAACTCTAGGATTGTTGAGCCTATTATTGTGCACAAGAGATAACTTTTTCTCTCCCAATTGTTTTCTTCCTTGAATGAATGCACCTTACGTTTTTTAAAAAAGTTTTTTTTTTTTGGGATTATAATAAAAAAAGGTCTTAATCAGTGTCTTTGCATTTAATAATTATTAGGCATTGAAGCAATGTGCTAAATTTGACTTTTAAAGGGCAAGAATGGTAATGAAAATGATTGGGAAAGTTAAATAGAGCATACTCTCCACGATGCTTCTATGAAATCAATCCTTCGTTTTACGGAGATCATAGAGACTAGACTACTACTGGGTGTTTCCCTCTCCTTTCTCACACGATCACCCCTCATTAGATGCTATACATTTTTCTTTTTTATAATTATTAAAGACATGAAGTTGGTGGAATGTCTCTGTCAATTTCCCACGTCATGATTTAATAATTTAACACAGGTAGATTGGACCTGTTGCATTGTTCATTCTTCAAGTTCAATGGGCTCTCGTGTGAGGAGGCGTATTGAGATATATAGTTCCACAATGATTGTATGTGTAACTAATGTAAAGTTTATAAGATCTTGGACACTCCTATTTTTTGAACTAATTTTTGGAGTGACGTATTTCAAAATTCTTTAAAGCGTTCATTCAGAGGTATGGTAATAGAGTTACGTTATTTTAGTATTTACAATTGCCTGTCTCTTCTAAATTGGACTGCCACTAAGTAGTATTTGAGTTTAATCAAGTTTATACTTCGTTTATTTAAAATTTTAAAATCATATAGCTTTAGACTTTAGATAGACAAACAAGTAATTATTCATCTAAACTACAAGTAAACTTTTATAGGGCTGACACATATTAACATAACATATTTGTAAAAGTTATATCAGTAATACTGATTTCCAGCTGCTGCAACGGTTATTCAATATTTCTATTGACTTTCCCTTAATTTTCTCACGCCTCTCCTAAAATAGGAAAAAGTCAATTTGATCTAGAATTATAATACTGGCCCAAAGATTATTATATAAGTCTGTATGACCAAGTTAAAGATCCATTATGATATTCAACCCAAAATCCCAAATAATAAAAAATGTGTAAGATATGCATACGTCATACTGTATGAATTTATCAGGAACTCAAAGGTGACCACCATCTTTCTTAGCAAATAAGTGAAATTAAGCCTCAACTTGATAGTCCATCACCTCTCTCAAGTGTGAGAACCTCATCAATAAACCAATCAGAAGATTTATCAACAGAACCACCATACAAAGGAGATTACATGAATTTACAAGCAAGTCATTTCACACACTATAAAAATAGAGATAACGACCTAAATATATTCATCTTTCTCATATATTCAATACTTAATCACTCAAACATAGATTTAAGCATCCGAGTGTCTTGCAGGTAGATAGGTACCCTCCCCCTTCAATTCCAGTCAGATTATTTTGTTGGGATACATCACCAACTCAAGATACCATCCCACTTGATGATCAACTCAACAATGTGTGATTAGATCCAATGGGAATTAACAACTCATTATATGGTTTTAATTCAATTATGTCTTCCACCACCAAGAATAATAGGAAGAATGGGAACAACAATAGCATTAAAAAAGGGGGGAAATTCATGCACGCTTAAAGATTTAGGGAGTAAAAACTTGGGCCATTTCTTAAGAATTGTCTCAAACTTTCTCAAGCAGGAAAAAAAAAAAAAGGCAAGAAAGGAAGGGGGAAGTAGGCCAGGGATGGAAGAGATTGATTTGTTGAAAGGGGAAAAATAAAAAACAGAAAAAGAAGAAGCCAAAACTCAAACAGGAAACATCACACACTGAAGAATTGGAAGTAAAACAAGGTTGTCCTTGTAAATAATTTATGGCTTTATGATTCACATCCATCATTGTGTTTGTATGGATGCTCTAAACAACATATTAGATCCCATGAATTTTGACATAATAGGAGGAGATTGAAATTTGTTGAGTTTGTCACAACCAATTTGATTCACTGTTTTTCATGCTAAATGGCTAAACGAATCTTTTATACCCCAAGCATGAACACAACCTCCATTATTAAGTAACCACTAACTACAAATCCATTATATATCACAAATGTGAAAGAACTACTACTAGTATATTACTATTGAAAGAGACCCCCTTCATCGTGATTCAAGAAAACCAGTTTTAGTGAGTACAGCAGTCCTCACTTTGTTAAGATCCCTACCTTTGAGGGTTCTCCCAACACCTTCTAAAACAGAAAATGAGGATATCTGACTCCTTGCAAGTCTTCTAGCAATAAATTCATGTGGAGGAAGCTTGGAATCATACTCATCACCTTCCTCTTCATTGTCATCACTATAACCACCATAATTGACAACACCATCACCATCATCTTCATCATCAAAAGAATGATGGAAATCATAATCATCAAACCTTGACACATTCTTGGGAGGCTTATTTTGGTTATTCCTATAAATCTTTGACCAATCAGGAATGTTGACAGGCGCAGATTGCTGAAGAACCTTGGCTTCATGAGAGGAACTAGCACTACTATTGCTACTGCTATCCCTTAGGATCATTCTTGCTGAAGTTGGAAGTGGCCTAGGGGCAGGAAGAGGAGAGAACTCCTTGTCTTTGGGTTTGTGAATTCCAGAACTATAATCAGGTCTGTTTTTGAGAACATCCCAAATTTCTTCTTCTTCAAAGTCTCCATCTCTCAAGGATTTCCATATCTCACTGTGCTGCCTAACTAGACTATATTTATCTTCCATCAATCACTTCCTACATATATAGCCCACATAACCCAGATAGATCAGGGTAAACTTTTCACAAGTGATTGAGTTAGAATTTTTCTTTTCTCCAAACTCAGATTAATTTTTCTACAATTTAAATACAAACTAAAAAAAATAAAAAAAATGGAGAAGAATTAGAAGTAAAAACAAATAAAAGAAAGTACATGAGCTGATTACACAATAGGATATTGAATATTTCATAAAGGATAAAAAGGAAAGGAACTACCTTTTTTACTGGAATCAGAAGCCTCAAACAACCCAACTTTATACTGATTCTAAAGTGGTTTTCTGGAATATGCCAAGCAAAATTGACTAGAAATTAGAGCAAAGTCAGTTTCAAATTTCAATTATGATACTAGAATTTGAATATGACTACGATCCTGCTATTTTCTGAGTCCAAAAGTTTTCCTTACCTCAATACGTTTGCAGAGATTTGGATGATGTCTGATGATAGTTTGTATAAAGAAACAGCACACACACACACACACACATACAGAGAAACTGAACGGCAGCAGCAAGTCCTCAAAGGGTAAGAATAAGACAGCCCTGAAACTTGTCCTTAGCGATCCCCTAAATGATGGGTCCCCATGTACTTAATAACTCTTGGTGAGTGAGAATAATTACTTCTGACTTACTGACTTTCATTAACTTTACCTGATAAGTACATAGGAATATTTAATGCAGAATACTGAGAATGTTGAGTTTCATGTGACATAGTGGATGCTTAGTGTTTTTCATTTTTTTTGGGATAACAAAAGTATCTTTTGTTAAGGTGTTCGTCACATTAGATTAACTGAATTAATTAAATTAATTTGGATATTTAATTCATTTTTTCTTCTCATTCATACTAAAAGCCTTACCTGATTCCAAAATCATTATCAAGTGTATTTGATTATGTATAATGTCCAACTTTGTCATCATAAAAATGTAAAAAGAATTAGATGTTAATAAAATATAATATCAACATTTAGAATTGATTGGATTACTATCTCAAACCATGGATGAGTAAATAACCATTATTTTACCTTGCAATAGTAAAAAATTTCAAAATTCTAGATAAAAAAAATAAAAAATGAATATACAAAACAGAGAAAAATATAACAATATACGCTTAAAAATTCTAAATGAGGAGTGCGGAGATGATGGTACAGCCATTCGGCCCATTCCCTCGTGAATGGACGGCTAACAGAGAGAGACTGGCTATTGTCAAGGAAACAGACAAAGAGTCCAAGTTTTCAACATAAGAATACAAAAGCTAGGAATTTTTGTAAAAAATTAATGCACACATGACACAAGTTACACAACCATTTTTGTTTTTTCTCCATCTCTCTTTTTGTTCTTTAATTTTTCTTTTCATGGTAATGGCATATCAAAGGAAGATATACCACTACTACCTAATAAAATAATTTTATAAATTTTTTATTTACAAACTCTTACAAATTACATTATGTCTGACTGATCATACTTTAATCAAGAGTGTATGACCAGTCATATTTAGTATAATTTGTAAAAAAAAATTGTAAACGCAATGATAAAACTAGCCCATTCATTGAGTTAAAGCCAACAAAATTTTAGGGAGAGCATAACACTAAATTTTATTTAGAAACTTAATCACAGTTATTTAATCATTAAAAAACGTGGCTAATTTTTGAATTTTAGCCCGGATCAAAGTCCCACCCTACCCTTAAGTGACTTTGTCACTGTATAAACAGATCTTCCCCCCACCCCCATAAATTATACCATCAAATAAAGAGAAAGAAAATTATCACATGAAAAACTCTATGCTCTGCCATAGAACGGCTCTGCGATTATTAAAAATAGGGAAATACGTAAGTTATGTAACATGATATAGAACAAATTTCCTGCTCACTCATTGATAAATGTGTAGATATTTCTTTTGTTTTTTTATTTTTCTTTTATTGTAGGGTCCACTAAAATCTGTTTGTGCAGGAAAATAAATTATTTTCCTGTTACATAACATATATATTCCCCTTAAAAATAAAATAAACTTGTGTTAATTAAAATCAAAGGAAATGCTTCCTGGAAGTTTCTAAGGTTGAGCAAATACATGCACCAAATGCCAAGCCACCAAGACAGAATTTTGTCAGAAAATTTGCGGTGTCTTAGCCCAATCAACACTTTTATTACTCTTCAGATTTATTTAGTGTGATTTTTAAGTAAGGAATCTGCAAAAATTTCCACCCTTGGAGCAGAATTTTCTCTCTAAAAAGCTGAAATCTCCAACTAAGTCATGCATAGCATTGGAGCGGCGGCTATAAAGTGAGTAGCATGGGACCAGGAAAACAAGGTTAACACTTTAAAAGTACAGTGAACTGATATTAGTGCATGTGTAAGCATAATTAAATAGTCGTGTATAGAATGATTTTCATTTTATATTTGTGTAATTAGAAGTGGAAAGTTTTTCTTTTATGATCATAAGCTTTAAATATGTAACAGTAATATGATTGAAACTGACAGCAGTGTCACCTAATCAGGAAAAAGGATCAATAACTTCGACCCATGTAGCCCTTCTTTCGTGCATTGTTTTTGTCTAATGTGCATCGCAGAATGTGTAGATACTATTGAAAGATGTGCAATTTTGCACTATACAGTTAAATACTCGCAATTATACTTGGTCTGGGACCACAGTAAGGTAGCAATTATACTCGGATTGTGTTTCCTGCTTCTTCATCACAGGTTGTTCTTTACTGTTTCATCATTGATTAAGTTGAAATAGTACCTTATTAATTGATTCATGTGCTTAGTAATTATTAGATTAATTTCATATTAAAAATGTATGTTAAAAGTGTCGGCAACATTCTTCTCTAAGTATACATTCATGAAGAATTGCATATGTATTCAAAATTAGAATAAATGCAATTCCCCTGGAGAGGTCATTACAAATGAAGTTTATGGAGATGGCAAGGTAACTGCCATGCGCATTAATTAACCGGCCAAAAGTTCACATAATTAACGATGGAGATATAGGTCAAATCATACGAATCGAGGAGGCTAGATTTGTTTCAGGTGTATTGTTTTCAACGCAGTCAATTTTGGCTGGGACGGTAATCATCTACACACGGTGAACTGAACTAGTCACTATCATTTTTTATAGCACTTATAGGATTTTTTATTTATTTTTGTTATTGGTGAGACTGAGACATGTATTTCATTTTATGTATGGAACAACGAACAAGTGTGGGATATAGAAAGCACGAAGAAAAGTTAAGATTCTTTCACTACATGCATGAACAAAGCATTTATCAATTCTGAATTGATTATCTCATTTGTCATGGACAGGAATCCTCTCTGAAGTTCTAAAACGAACTGTACCGTGTTCGTTTTATTGTTCGATGCCTGGTAATTTTAAAACCAAATTTTGCTTCGGTGATTTATCATAAAAGAAAATTATTTTATTTTCTCAGATCGTGTACAGTTTAAGAAAAACATCAAAGGATTATTAAATCAGGATTTTTCTTTGGTTCCATCAAATCGGAAATTTTAATAACGAAGAATAAGGTAAAACGATAAAAATGAGCACATTGAAAAATAGAATAATGAAGCAATTATTTTAATCCACAATTTTCAATTTTAAAGTTAAATTCCCGAGACAAGACAACTATTTCAGCAGTGCAAATGCTGGTCCTAATACATAAACAAAAACAATCATTTAGCTAAGAAAATGCATAAACAATCATAAGCCTGTGGGGCCTAGTACCACAAAAAATAAAAATTACATTTCAATTACAAAACCAATCACGTAAAATGAAAAAATGTATGAAACATAATAATGCGCTTTGATAGAAACTAGAAGGCTGGGAATGGTTTGCAGTAGGGCAGTTAGATGGTTTTAGCATTGAGCCGAGGGATCGTGTCCGGTCCAACAATGAATTGAACCGGATGACGGTGGAAGGACGAAGCGACCAAAACCTGCATTGATTGGAATGTGGTTGCGAGGAAGAGGACTGGTGGGTTATGGAGGTCGATTTTAATAGGTTTATGTCATTGAATATCGTTGGTGTTTTTTTTTTTGTCAGATACTTTTATTTGCAGGTAGATCTTGCATATATATATATATATATATATATATATATATATATATATATATATATATATATATATTTTAAGATATTCTAATCTGTTTATCGTTTCGCGACTAGTCTGATTCTGAACGAGTTCTGAAATTAAAGCTTTAAAACCCCTCTTGAAGATGGTATTAGAAATGATCGAACACATTCCGTCTACTCAATTTTCTAGAGTTAACTTATCGTTTGGTAAAGATTGAATATTTTAATCAGGGTGGTATTCTTCCTTATGTCATCCACAACTCATCATGTTCCTCAGATATGTTTTAGAAGTTGAATCATGAGAAAGTTCAAGTTTAATTATCCGTGATTTTGTTTTTCCCATCATGGTTAATATTGTATGTATAATACTCACTAATGATTATCAGAAGGGACACATTCTTGTTAGCAGTGTTTTCAAGGAAATAAAATTGCTCGCTCAGATGCATGTGTTTCTTTACAGCCCTGTCTCGGTGGCTTTAACATGGGCGTTAGACATGGATTGTGCTAGGAAATTTGCTTTCCCTAATTTAGAAGCCAACTACATAGGAAATTTTTAGGTGCTCTTTGTCAGCAGAAACAAGCAATCTTGTTACCTTTCGTTATTATGTATCCTAGAATCAATTTGAAAATGTAAAAAAATGTTCAAATATTTTTATTAACAATTCAATGTAAAGAAACAATTTTGATTTTGAAAATTAATTCAGTTTTTCCTTAAAATGAAATATTCAGGCATAGGTTTTTATTCAATTTCTCTCCAAAACACGAAACTCATTCTTGAAATCAATATTAGAAGTATGGCTTTAATGTCTCTGCACAGTGAATTAGATAAGTTATTTACATTCACTCCTAACATAACGTCGTTTTGGATTGAAAGATTAAAAAATTATAATAAGAAATACTATTATAACTCTTAAATAAATTATAATTATAAAAATATCTTAATTTTCATCCCATTCCAAAACGACGTCGTTTTGGGCTCAATGTAGATAACTTATCTATATTGACCGTAGAAAAAGCGAACCATATAAATATTAAATAAAAAAACTAATTTGTTTGCATTTTTATTAAGGAAAAAATGTTTATCCTTTTAAATGACATAACTTATATTCTTTTATTCTCAGAAAGAGGTGGGACCCACACCTTTATATTTTTTTGTCCACTCTCCCTCTTCTTTTATCTATCTTTTTCTCTCACTTAAAATGACATAACTTTATATCATTTAAAATGATACACAATTTTCCTTTTTACTAAATAAGAGTAAAAACTAATTTGGATTTTTCTTCTTTTTTATTTTCCTTCGACTTATATATAGAAGGTTATATTTATTATCATTTTATTTTTACTACTTTTATTATATGATTGATTATTATTATTGTTAGATTAATTTAAAATCAACTATAATTAATTTTTTTAAATTTTTTAACAGTTAAATTTTTGTTTAGTACATTTTAACAGTTAATTTCAAATTGATATAGCAGTAATTAATCAGGTGATAATAAGAATAACAAGCACGAAATGATAAGAATAACCCTGTATATATTGTTGGCAAGAACTAAGTTGGAAAATTAGAGGGAGGAGAGATACTAGTGTGTGTAACTGTTTCCCAATTTCCTCTGTTTAGTGTGTAGCATTCGAAAAGAATAAGATGCCCTCAGCTCAAGATCCGTTCTACGTTGTGAAGGAGGATATTCAACAATCTGTAAGTTGTTTGTTTTTTCCCTCAAATTACATAGTTTTCCTATTCGGTCCGATTGGGAAAATAAAATTTGTAATTTTTCTTCAACAATCATGGGTTGCACTTAAAACTGCCGCGTGATTTCTCTATGGGTGGATCCGGGACTTTATGTGATTCACCATCTCGAATCTGATCGCTGAGATTGGAAACGAAGTATTTGAGTGTAGGATTATTATTGTGAGTGTGTGTGTGTTTATTTCTAAGTATTTATTAGTAATTGGGATATTTCTCCTCCTTCTTTTAATCTCTTACGCAATAGATCTGATCATGCTATGTTTTTAATGCAAATTCTGGTTTTGAAGAAAATAGAGTTCCGATCCGTAACTGTTGTCATCATTTCTTTCGTTGTCTGATTATTTTTCCTTTTCTGATAAGATTGATAAGTTGCAATCTACTTTTCGCCACTGGGAAAACGCTCATGATGCTGGCGAGCGATCTCATCTTTCAAAGGAAGTCCTTGCTACTTGTGAAAGTATTGAATGGCAGGTACACCCATTGCATTTGCTGAACCGGTGACAATTGCCCTATAAATTTTTGTTTTAAATGAATCTTATTCATTCTTTCAGTCATGGTGTTACTGTCATTTGCATGAAATGGGATCTGGGAATTATTAGTGACACACTTAAGGTATTTTTGGATTAGAGTATAATCTAGGTCAGAGGGAGGGAGTTACCTTCCCTCCTTGGGGAACTTTTTTGTGGTAGGAAGGAAAATGAGGGTTTTGCCTTTAACCCTCCAATAATCTCCAAAGTATGCTTCTATTTACGCCAAGTACAAGGTATTCTTTAGTAATAAAAGCAAAAGAATAGTTCACTCAGTGAACATTGAGCAGATACAAAATATTTGTAATTTTCACCTAATTATCATTGTTGAATTATAATGTTAGTATAATAGCTTATTAATAAATAGTAAATATGTAAAATGTATTATATTCGTTTATTTTTATTCATCACTCCATTTCCTTCCGCATGCTTTTTTTTTTAAACGTCCAAGGGTGAGGAAAATCATCATTTACCACCACAACACCACCCTAGGCATGGTTCCTTCCTTCTTTTTTTCTTTTTCAATCTTTCAAAGATTTCGCTCCCTTCCATTTGGGTGTGCTAGGAAAGGTGAAAAATAAGGAGGGGAGTAAAAATGGAGTCAGGTGGAAATGTTTTGATAGAGATTGGAAATCAGATATAAAGTCACTTTCAACTCAACAAGTAAACCCTTAGGATGTGTTTGGTATAGGTTTTTGTTTGGGTTTGATGGGGAAGTGTGGGTGGCAATTGAATTTGATCACGTTTGGTATAAGTTTTGGATGAATTTGACCACATTTGACCATGCAAATAGGAAGCCTGGGCAACGACTTCATAGTTGTTTTTTGGATGAAATTAACTATTCTAAAATACCACTTCAGATATGGTATTTTAGGATAGGTGGGGAAGTGGAAAAAGGGATGCCAACTTCATGACCGAAATGACCCTGCATGCCTGTAAAGTGAGGGACTTCAGTTGTTTTGTACAACGGGGGTATTTTGGTCAATTCAACCTATTTCCTCATCACTATTTTACCTTCAACCAAACATAGACTTTGCAAATTTACATAAATTTTCCCGGTAATATTTTGGTGAACCAAACATCATTTTTTAAACTTTTCCATCAAACTCACTTTCCTACCATTTTCCCATTAATTATGTTTCCCCAGTAAAAAAATATCTCCTCTACCAAACGCCTCCTTTTAGTCTATTCAGAATCTGTAGCCTCTCTTCATCACACATCTTAAGGCAAGGCTATTGTTTGAGTGGATCCTCTCTTTGTTGCCTGTGGTTTTTTCTTCTGCAATATTACCCATTCATATTGCTGAATATGTATTTTTTGATAGAAAGGTGGATGAATTGGACAAAGCAATTGCTGTAGCATCTAGAGATCCTTCTTGGTATGGCATTGATGCAGTGGAGATTGAAAACAGGAGGAGTTGGACCAGCAGTGCTCGCACCCAGGTATCTGTAACGTATGCCAAACTTTAGTAAGATTGAGGAGAATACAGTTAAATTTCTTCTCAACCAAGTGTACAGTTGTTCTTTTAGTATTATTTTCTTATTAGTATCACACATATTAGAGTACTCCTGAATGATTGTAGTACATTATTAGGTGCGCTCAGTTAAGAAAGCAGTGGAAGCTGGAAAGGGCTCAAATACAGCAAACCATGCTAGTGTAAATGGGATGCACAGAGAATTAATGAGGCTTCCTGATTCTCATCAAACTAACACATCCAACCATTATGGTGCCCACGATAATGATGATTTCATAGAATCAGAATCAGATAGACAGATGCTTCTTATAAAGTACTTCTTTCCTCCCTTTCTGTCTCTTACATGTGGCATTGTATTAAGTATTTGTCTTTTGTCCTACGCAGGCACATCCTCATTCTTTTTAATTGATGTTGTGCACATCTTCATGAGATTGAACTCCAAACATGGTCACTTTTCTGTATATGAGGTGGAAAATATTGTCTTTGTTGTTAGTTTTATCTCTTAAGTGGATAGAATTATATTGTCCCCTCCTCCCCTTTGCTTTCTGAGACAGAAGTGAGCGCCTTTGTACTGGAATGAGACATGCACATATATTTCTTGTTCTGCTCTACTAGTAAATTGCTGTCCGTGGAAGGATTTTGTTTCATGTTATCATCCTTGCTAATTTTTTGAGTGTTGTTTGGATATACTATTACTACTAAATAAGAAATCAGAACTAAAATGAAGGATTCCCTATTTCTTTCTCGTGGAAGAAAAATAAAATTGGGAAAAAAATAGAATAAAGACAGTGGCAGGTAGCCTTACCGCGGGTAAAGGCATGAAATACAGTGCTCAAGAGTTTAGAGAACCTTATGGGAATGCATATCCTTTCTTGTTAAACAATCTAGCTCCAGTTGCTATTTTACTTTTGATTTTATATTATATATATTTGTGCTGATAGGAAACAGGATGAGGAGTTGGATGAGCTTAGTTTAAGCGTGCAGAGAATTGGAGGTGTTGGACTTACGATACATGAAGAGCTAAATGCGCAGGTAGATCTGGGAGGTTTTTTGTTCTATGATTTTTGCTATTTTGCTTCCAAAAGTAGGAGACTAGGTAGCATTTGTGTAGCTATGTGTTTCCTTGAAATGTATTCAATAGAAGTTTTGTTCTCATGCCTGATTTTGTTTCTTTGAGAAATCTCTCATTCTAAAAATGTCAAAATCTTGATGCTTCAGGAAAGGATTATAGATGATCTGGGTGCTGAGATGGACAGTACATCTAATCGTCTAGATTTTGTCCAAGTATGTTTCTGCTTGTAGTTTTCATTCTGTCATTTAAAAGTTCATGACGTATCTGACTTTAAGATTGCTGTCATTAATAAATAATATAATATGAAAAAACTTTGAATAATGGTTTATGAAAGTGGAAACGTGTCTCTTTGTTTATGATTTCAGAAAAAAGTAGCAATGGTCATGAAGAAGGCTAGCGCAAAGGGCCAGATCATGATGATATTGGGTTTGCTGGCCTTGTTCATTTTCCTCTTTATCTTGGTGTTCTTCACCTAGTCATTAAGATGGACTCTGTCGATTCCCTGTTTGTACATGAAAACAGATATAAGTTTTTGTGAAGATACTAGATTAATGGGACATTGGAGATGTCTACTAATCAAATGGAAGCCTTTTTTGGTTTCTCGAAGGCATTGGAAAATTCTAATTGTGATGAAAAGGGAAGCAATGTGCTTAAAAGTATCACAAAAGGATTTTGATTCTGAACAAGTTGGATGGCAAATATGATTTCAATTATTTTCAAAATAATTTTCTCCTGCATGTAATGTAATGTTTGATGTTTTTTTCTTTCTAGAACGACGGCGCCATGATATTATTGTCATTTATTGCTTTTAAAATATTGGCACATTCTGGAATAATGAGGGAGTTTATTATTTATAGTTTTGAAGTGTTTTCTAATTTGACGAGATTTTTTTGAGTTTAATTTTAATGTATTATAAGTATAAAAGAATTTTATATATTCATTTAATAATGTGTAATCATATCACTTAATTTTGATAATTTGAAAAGGTATTAAATTTATTGATTAATATGTTCATACATTATTGAATTGGTTTTAATAACAATCCGTTGACAGTTGAGGAATAGTTTGGCACGTATATAACAAACTATTTTTATTGGAAACATTCTTCTAATAAATTTCTGGAGAACTTTTATAGTAAATGGAATATCCAGAATTGTAATTAATCAAATATTGCAAAGCCCGGTATCGGCACCATAATATCCGATTGGGGAGAGTATATAGTTGTTCGAAACGGATATTGTTTATTGATTGAAGACTGTTTTTGTTGTTATCAGTTTCGAACTACTTTGGTTTTTAATTACTCCTAAGGATGTGGTGGGTCTTTTTCAGCAGCTAGGGAATATTTTAGGGGGTAAAACAGAAAATTAGAACCATTGACTAAAATGATAAATAAGTATATTTTAATTATTTATTTAAGAATTATTTTTTTATCAATAAAAAAACTATTGAAGTAGTTTTTTTTTTTTTTTTGGATAAAAAGAACTCGGCTAAATTCTTCTTTCTGTCTAATGATATCATAATTATTCTGTCTTAAAATCGTAATTTTTAAAATTTTTATTTTTATTTTTTTATTTTCTTGTAGTTTGTAATTGCGCTCATATCCGAATATATTTGAGATAAATGTAACTCGATATTATTTTGTTATAGCATGATAGCTGTTGTATTACCCTAACAATTTTTTTTTTTAAAAAAGTATAGAATAAAAAAAAGTGAAAATTGTTTCTTAAAGAATTATATAGGTTATACTTGGAATTAATTCTCTCCTGTAATATTAAATTATACAAGAGAAAATTAAATTATTTATGTACAAATTAATAATAATGAGAAAGTATATTAAAATAAATGTGAGAAAAAATAAGGAAAAAATATTCGTCCTTTTGAAGGATTGTCATTTTAATTAAAACTAGTCTTTTTTATTTAAAATTTAAATTGAAAAGAAAAACTTCTCACTCTCTCCTCCCATAATTTTCACTGTCTATCTCTTTCTCTTACTTAAAATGACACAACTTTATATCTTTTAAAAGGACAAAGTAATGTTATAAAAATCAAATCGATCCGAAAATCGATGAATCGATCATATAACCAGTCCGATTTTCATATTGGATCAGCCATGTAATGGAACTAGTGTGACCTGTCTAATTTTTGTAAAAATCGATAACTCGGCCTGATTCATAAAAAAAATGGTTTATTCTTATCAATTGTTGTTTTCTTTTTTTTACTCACACACACACACACAAGTGGTTTGAAATATTTGAGTGATATGTTGTTTATTGACTTACATAGGTCATGTACCGACAATACTAATATTATTTTGGTTATACAATATGTAGAAAATTTTGATTTGATTTATAGTTAGAGATGTCGTCTACTAAACCTGAAGCACGAGTGTCACAAGTATTATATGTTTGATTGATCTTTTATTAAACAATGATATGTAATTTATTATTTTTTATATTAAAATATTTGAAATTTGTATCATTTTGTTACAGATATTTGAGTATGGAAAAAATGTGTGTCATTTTAAAGGATGTAAAATTATGTTATGGAGAGAAAGAGATAGATAAAGGAGGAGAGAGAGTTGACAAAAAAAAATATAGGTGTGAGTCTCACCTCTCTTTGTGAGAATGAAAGGATATAAGTTGTGTTATTTAAAAGGATAAACACTTCTTACTTTCGAGTATATTTGTAACATTTTGTTACAGTTAGAGTTTAATAACATTGGGAACAAACAATAATCCCAAAGAATAAACGAAAATATAGAAAATAATATAGGGTGAAAGGATCGACTCCCACCTAGCACCATAATAACCATTGAAGTTTACGAAGGGAGGTGTAGCAGGTCTCCCTATCTTTTTTGAGAAAATGAGAAAAGCAGGCATATATTGAAATTTTGATTTGAAGCGGGAGTGAGAGGGAGAAATTGCGGAATGTTGGAAGAAAGCAAACGACAGCGTTAATTAGTTGAAAATGGTGATTTCAAGTAAGGTGATAAATTGAATGATGAGGTGGAGCTAGCGGCATTGCTTTGCTTGGCTTGGCCCCCGATGGATCTGTCATGTCCAATCCTTTTGTACAACAAAGACCTCCAACTCGTAAATTTCATTCTTATCTCTTTCTCACATTTCCCACCACAACCTTCTATTTAACTTTGAACGCAGGGGAAGAAAAAATGTGCAGGGAAAGACTACGCTACCTTGAAGTCATGAGCTAATTCATGTAGCCTAATCAATCCTTCATAATTGTTTGAATTATATATAGAGTCTGTGACAATGGTCGACAGAGTTTGTATCTTATCCAATACCGAAGACATCAGTGGCGGATCCAGGAAATTAATGAAGAGTGGGCACTCAATAAGGTCTGGTTGAAAATGCGACTTGCGAGCAGCTGTCGGCTGGCTGCGTCTGGTCTAGATCTAGATATGTATGGATTGCGACTCAACTGAACCGATGATGGAGGAAGAAGCAAATGTTCCAACTTCCAATAATGGAGATTGGGGTTTATTAATATTGTATTTTCCTTTATTTGTTATTTTCTTATTTTTAACTTTGCTGTTGTAACTAATCTGGCGCTCTTTGGTACCAGGCTGGCTCATGCATGTGCTGAGCACCTTTTTAGCATTCTGTTATTTTTCCTTGTTATAAGTAGAACGTTCCCTTGTACTTTTTACTCACTTGAATGAAGATGAATATTCAGTTATATTTTTTCAGTACCTTTTCTCTCAACTAATATGGTATCAGATGAATTTGTTTAGCCCTTGCCTTTTCTATGGCTCGTGGCTCGAACACCGCTGCACGTCCTCCTCCCGTGGATTCTTCCTCTGGAAGTTCTCCTGCCATGGAGGATTCTTCCAGCCCTTACTTTTTACACGGGGGTGACCATCCTGGTTTGATTCTTGTCGCCACCCCTCTTTCCGGTTCCAATTATAATTCTTGGAATCGTGCCATGCTTCTGGCTCTTACTGCCAAGAACAAGCTTATTTTCGTTGATGGTTCCCTTTCTCGCCCTCCTTCTTCGGATCTCCTTTTTTCTTGTTGGAACCGTTGTAATTCAATGGTGATTTCCTGGATATTGAATTCTGTTTCAAAGGATATTTCCGACAGCCTATTGTATTTCTCTAATGCTTTTGAAGTGTGGGCTGACCTGAAGACTCGTTACTCTCAGGCCAATGGTCCTCGGATTTTCCAGCTTAAACAACAAATTGCTTCTCTATGTCAAGGTTCTCTTGATATCAATAGTTACTATGGCAAGTTGAAGGTCTTCTGGGATGAGCTTCAAGAGTATCTTCCCCTGCCTCATTGCTCCTGTGGCGCTCTTCGTGATATGAACAATCGCAGGGATCAGGATCATGTCATTCAATTTCTAATTGGCCTCAATGATTCCTTCTCCGCTGCCCGTGCTCAGATCCTGTTGATCGATCCTTTGCCATCTCTTGCCAAGGTCTTTTCCATGGTGATTCAGGAGGAACGTCAACGCCAGATCTCTGTTTCCTTACCGGTTATTGCTGCTCCGGAAACTCCCTTTATGGGTTCTGTCACCACCGCCGATCAAGCTCCGGCGTCCATGGCCATCACTACTCAGCGGCGTCCACGGCCCGTTTGCACCTACTGTCATCTCTCTGGACACACAAGGGAGAAGTGCTTTAAGCTTCATGGGTTCCCTCCTGGCTACAAGCCCAGGAACCCGAAGCCCAATTTTCCTCATATGGCCCATTCTCCTCAGGCCCATTTTGCCCATTCTGTTGCACCCCACCTATCTCAGCCCAAATCCCCTAATCCCTCATCCACCGACACACCTCTGGCTTTCACCCCTACACAGTATAACCAGTTGATCTCCCTCATCCAACAGAGTTCTGCTTCCTCTTCCACCGTTGAGTCCTCCGTCGCTCCTTCCGTCGCTCCATCGGTCGCGAGCTTCAGCGGTAAGCCCCTTTTTCCTTTTCCTTCTTCGTGCTGGGTCCTCGACACTGGAGCTACCCATCACGTTTGTGTCTCCAAAGATTTTTTTGTCTCTTCTTCTCCATCTAATTCTCTGGTCACTTTTCCTAATGGCTCTTCTGCTGTTGTCTCTGCTGTTGGGGATATTTCCCTCACTGCATCTCTTTCTCTTTTGCATGTTCTTTTTGTACCCTCTTTTTTGTTTAATCTCCTCTCTATTCCTTCTTTAACTCGTGATTCTTCTGTTGTGGCTAATTTTTGTGCTTCTTCTTGTTTGCTTCAGGACCGTGTTACGGCCAAGCTGATTGGGATAGCTAAGAGATGCGGTGATCTCTATATTTTAGATTGTACCTCTCTTCCCAAAACTGATGTTCCCCATCCCCAGTGTTCTTCTGTTTCTACTTTTCCCCCTCCCCTATGTTCTTCTATTACTGTAAAGGATCCTGTTCTATGGCATTCCAGAATGGGTCACTTATCTGTTTCTGTTTTAAATTCAATGAAAAATGCTTTGGGTTTTTCTGATTATTTGCCTGTTTCACATCATTGTGCTGTTTGTCCCCTTGCTAAGCAGAAACGTCTCCCTTTTTTATTAGACCCCAAACTCTCTGCTTCTCCGTTTATGCTTGTGCATTGTGATATTTGGGGTCCCTTCTCCACTCACTCGGTTGAAGGTTCTAGGTATTTTTTAACCTTAGTTGATGATTCAACTAGGTTTACCTGGATTTATTTTCTTCGAAGAAAATCTGATTTTTCTTCTATTTTTCCTTCCTTCTACAATCTTATCCACACTCAGTATGGTCTTTCCATTCAGTCCATACGGTGTGATAATGCCCCTGAGCTCAATTTACCCTCTTTTTACTCTTCAAAGGGCATTCAGGTTTTCCACTCATGTGTGGATCGCCCACAGCAGAACTCTGTGGTTGAGCGAAAGCATCAACATTTGCTTAATGTTGCTCGCTCCTTACATTTTCAATCCAATGTTCCTCTACCTTTTTGGCAGGATTGCGTTCTTACTGCTGCATATCTTATCAACAGAACTCCATCCCCCTTGCTGGCTTTCAAAACCCCTTTTGAACTCCTTTGCCATAAACCCCCTTCCTATACTCATCTCCGGGTATTTGGCTGTCTTTGTTACAGCTCTACACTTCCCAAAAATAGACACAAATTCTCTCCCCGTGCCTTACCCGCTGTTTTCCTTGGCTACCCACCTGGCTACAAAGGCTATAAACTCCTTGACCTTCAGTCCAATACTGTTTTTATCTCTCGTGATGTTACCTTTTTTGAGACCATTTTCCCCTTTAAAATTAATTCTTCTTTGCCTTCTTCCCCTGACAATTTTTGGCCAGCTTTACCTCATCCTATTACTGCAGTGTCCCCAACCGAGGCTGCTCCTGCCCCCTTGCGGCCTCAACGCACCCACACTGCCCCCTCTCATCTTAATGATTATGTTTGCTCTACCAATCATCCCATTTCTGGTTCTGTTTCTTACAATCGGCTGTCTCCCTCTCATACAGCTTTTGTTAACTCCATTTCTGGTCACTTTGAACCCTCTTCTTATTCTGAGGCTTCTCAATTACCAGAATGGCAGCTTGCTATGAATTCTGAATTATCAGCCCTTGAGCATAACCACACTTGGACAGTAGTTTCTCTTCCTCCTGGCATGAATGCTGTTGGCTGCCGCTGGGTTTACAAAGTGAAATATAATTCGGATGGCTCTTTGGAAAGGTATAAGGCTCGTTTAGTAGCTAAGGGGTATACCCAACAGGAAGGTGTGGATTTTTTGGATACTTTTTCTCCAGTTGCAAAACTGACGACTGTGCGGGTTTTACTTGCTCTTGCTGCTGTCCATAATTGGACTCTTGTTCAGCTTGATGTAAATAATGCATTCCTCCACGGGGATTTGCTTGAGGAGGTTTACATGACCATTCCTCCTGGTTATTCTTCGAAGCTCACTTCTATGCCTCCCAATGCTGTTTGCAGGCTCCATAAATCTTTATATGGTCTTCGCCAAGCTTCCCGCCAATGGTTTGCGAAGTTTTCTTCTACTTTACTGGACCTTGGTTTTATTCAGTCTCAATCTGATCACTCTCTATTTGTTCATTCTACATCAACTTCATTTACTGCTATTTTAGTTTATGTAGATGACATAATAGTTGCCTCTAACAATTCTAATGAAGTGCAACAGGTTACTGAGCTTCTTAACAGCAGGTTCCAATTAAAAAATCTTGGTTGTTTGAAATATTTTTTGGGTCTTGAAGTGGCTCGCAATACAACAGGCATTTCTGTTTGCCAACGTCATTATGCCTTGCAAATTCTTAAGGATTCTGGCCAACTGGGATGCAAGCCAAGGACTACTCCAATGGATGCTGGTCTCAAACTTTCCATCAATACTGGTGAGCTTCTTTCAGATCCTTCCATCTATCGAAGGCTGATTGGAAGACTGATTTACCTCACAATTACAAGACCTGACCTTTCTTATGCCGTGACTCATCTAAGTCAGTTCATGGCCTCTCCACGTGTGCCTCATCTTCAAGCTGCACACCGGTTACTTGGTTACATTAAGCTCACTGTTGGACAAGGCCTGTTCTTTTCTTCAACCTCTTCTATACAGCTCAATGCTTTTTGTGATTCTGATTGGGCTTCTTGCCCGGATAGCCGTCGGTCCATTTCCGGCTACTGTGTCTTCATTGGTGATTCCCTTGTTTCTTGGAAGTCTAAAAAGCAGTCAACTGTATCTCGTTCTTCTACAGAGGCCGAGTATCGTTCAATGGCACATGTCACCTGTGAGTTGCTATGGCTGTTTTCTCTGCTTCGGGATTTTTGTATTCTTCATCATGGACCTGCTCATCTTTTTTGTGACAATCTTTCTGCTCTTCATCTGGCTGCCAATCCGGTTTTCCATGAACGCACGAAGCATATTGAAATTGATTGTCACCTCGTTCGAGAGCACATCCTTAAGGGTCATTTGAAGACTTTCCCAGTTTCTTCCTCCAAGCAACTTGCTGATTTATTCACTAAGCCTCTTCTTCCTTCTAAGTTTTCTACTCTGTTGTCCAAGATGGGAGTTTTAAACATATACTCTCCATCTTGAGGGGGGCTATTAATATTGTATTTTCCTTTATTTGTTATTTTCTTATTTTTAACTTTGCTGTTGTAACTAATCTGGCGCTCTTTGGTACCAGGCTGGCTCATGCATGTGCTGAGCACCTTTTTAGCATTCTGTTATTTTTCCTTGTTATAAGTAGAACGTTCCCTTGTACTTTTTACTCACTTGAATGAAGATGAATATTCAGTTATATTTTTTCAGTACCTTTTCTCTCAACTAATAGGGTTTAAGAGGAGATGAATCAATATGTAGATACAAACAATGGGTGTCGAATAAAGCTCTCTGCGGTTAGGTTTGGATAATGAAGATGGAGGAGAAAAAAATACTCACGGAAAAATAAAATAGAATGAGGAAAATTAAAGCTCATAACAACCAATTAGGGTTACTACCAATCAATTTCACCGTTAGATCGATTATGTTGATCTAACGGTTATATTTATTTTCTATCTTTGTATGGTTATGATCCCCATATTTAATGTAAAAGTATTAAATATGAAAAATCATAACCATACAAAAGTCGAAATAAATATAAAGTATTAAATATGGGGAATCATAACCATACAAAGATGAAAATAAATATAACCGTTGGATCAACATAATCAATCTAACGGTGAAATTGATTGGGATGAAAATAAATATAATCGTTGGATCAACATAATCAATCTAACGGTGAAATTGATTGGTAATAACATTGATAGTAACCCTAATTAGGGGCGTGCATGGGTCGAACCGAACTGGATTTTTTGAAAAACCGAACCGAATTGGTTTAAATGGTTCAGTTCGGTTCAAAATTGGTTCGGTTCAGTTAAGAAGTCGTTCGGATCCGGTTTGAAACCGGTTCGGGTCAACCCTCTTTTGAAAAGAAAAAAAGTTAAAAAATTAAAAAATTAAAAAATAAAGTTATGAAAAATTAATTTGGTTCGGTTTGAAAATGGTTCGATTCGGTTCAGAAACAGTTTGGTTATTAAACCGGTTCTAAAAACCGATTCGGTTCAGAAACGGTTTGGTTATTAAACCGGTTCGGTTCTTAAACCGGTTCTAAGAACCGGTTTGGTTCGTGAACTAATTTTTAAAAATCGATTATTTTATGAAACAGTTCGGTTCATAATTCGACCCAATTTTTTAGTTATTTTGCACGCCCCTACTTCTTTGTTGTAGTAGTTGTTCATCATGCATGTTTGTATTAGTTATATTTCGACCTTTTTACCAGGTTACTCGCCTGCGTGAGTACCAAGGTCTAATTGTATTTGTGTGTTTGGGATTAGTTCATTTTATATTCAAAACAACTTAGAATTAGAATATTATGTAGAGAGTTGTAAGTTAGACATAATTGTATTTAACTTACGCATATAATATTTAAAACTTAAAATGTTCTTATGAGTGTTTTATAGAAGTCAAACTTGTTAATCGTGTTGGGAGTTGCCACCCAACTTAAACGTGCTATTTTGGCCGATGATAACGGCATGGCGCAAGTGGATTGCCGCCGGCTGCCTAACAACTCCCAACAGAATCAGATAGAGAAAAACAAAAGAAAACAAAACAGTGCCAATTGGGTGTTTGCTATGGAAAATTTCTTGCATAATTTCTTTCTCTCTCTCTAGCATAATTGGTTTGTTTCATTTCTGTTCTTGCTAACAAAACTTATTAGGTTAGCTAATTTTTATCTTATTATTTTGAAAATTTATTTTCGGAATAGAAAATCAATAACATGTTTTAGTTTTCTTGTTTTTTTTTTTTTTTTGGTGAATTTGTTTTCTTGTTTTTTTCTTCATAAATTCTCTACTTCCACTTCAATCCACCGCCATTAAACTCTCAAAACAAATCTCATTAAAAACTCTCAAAACAAATCTCATTAAATAAGTTTTTTATATTTTTATTCTGTAAAATAATTTTATAAAGTAAAATTTAAAAATAAAAAGCAAGAACGTCACCAAAAAAGCCATAAACTATTCATTTTCGATCCTCCTTTTTCTATTTTAACCACAAATAACAAAAATCAACTTATAAATTTCCTTATCAGATAAGAAATACTTTTTGTCCTGACCTCTCTTTTGATATTCTACAGATAAAAAGTATAAAATAATACAAATTGGGAATACTAATTATAAAAAAAAAAATTCTTATCTATAGCCGTCAGCAAAGGATATATAGGAGAAAAAAAGGAACATAATCTCAAAAGCACTTTGAGTCAAGATTATTCTTACCCTCATTCTCTACCACTACCGCCTCACAAATTATCTGGTGTTTGGGTGCCTTACCACAAGTTGTCAATCCTTTCAAGAATACGATACTCCATTCACCCAAAAGCACCTTATATTCAGCACGTCATCAATATCTCAATTAACCACCGTTTTAGACCCATTTGCAATTTGTGAAAATATATTATATAAGAACTTTTTATTTTATCCATGTAAATTAATATTCGACATATATATGTAACATGGCCTAAATTAGTATCAAAAGTTGTTTTGCATGAGTAAGGAAGGAAATAAATTTCATGCAATTTGCTCACGCAAACACACACACACCCCGCCTCACCCGCTATATATACCCCACCCCACTTTCCATATTCTTCCCAATTCGATCGCTTCTACTTTGTTTACAAGCCTTCTTCTCTTTCAGGTTTGTCTCTCCTCCAACGTGAGATCTTCTCTTACCTCATGTTTCATACTTTGTCTGAAAAATTCTTGTTTAAAACTTTTATTTGTGTTCAGTGAAAGATTATGTTCCAAGTTTGATGTCTCATACACAAGATAGATGTTTTTAATAAAATTTTCTAGCTTTTTTATATAAATGAAGGGGAATACTAGTCTCGTATTGTAGAAGACTAATATCTCATGTTATAGACACAAAGCATGTGGATTCCGTTCGTTTATTTATTTATTTTAAAAGAGCGGGCTCCACATACTTTGTGCCTATGACATAAGATACTAGTCTTTTACAACACGAGACTAGTATTTTTCATAAATGAATTATATGATGTGACGGAAATTAAAGGTGTGTTTGGTGTTTGACAATTATTCATTAAAACCAAGAAGCTTTTTTATTTCTTGTAGTCTGATATTGGCATGACTTTTGGTGTTGTTTTGTTGTAGTGTTGCATTATAACTTGTGCGTTGGGTTTTGGTTATAAGTATTCGACAAAGCAAAGTACATGGTTGATACGCATGTTCAGATTCCCAGCACTTTCGACCCATTTGCTGAGGCTAAAGAATCAGATGCTCCTGGGGCCAAAGAGTATGTGCATGTTCGCATACAACAGAGGAATGGGAAGAAGAGTCTTACCACAGTGCAAGGGCTGAAGAAAGAGTTCAGCTACGAGAAGATCCTCAAGGACCTTAAGAAAGTGTTCTGCTGCAACGGCAATGTTGTGCATGACAAGGAACTTGGCAAGATTATCCAACTCCAAGGTGATCAGCGCAAGAACGTTTCTCAGTTCCTCGTTCAAGCTGGCCTTGTCAGAAAGGACCAGGTCAAGATTCATGGTTTCTGACCAACTCTGATGTTCTTTATATGCTTGTGTTAATTAAAGTTTGATGACAGTGTTTATGAAATAAGTAAGAGTTTGGAATATTTAGTGATTTTCGTTTTATATGATTGAAATACAATGGATGTTATGGTTGAATGGATGCAAGACACCATATATATAGTTTTTTATGTTATAAGTTTCTTGTTGTCATGTTGTGTGTATTATTTTGTTACTATCATTCAACGGCTTTATGCCGTTTTTTAACATAAAAATTATCACTATGTCCTTGTTTTTAAATTATTTAAAAAATTTGATTTTTTCCCTAAATATTACATCAATCTTTCCAATTTAGAGCTTGTTTGGATAATTTTTTTTAAGGTAGAAAGTACTTATAAGCCGAAGTTGAAAAAAAGAGCTTACAAAAACAAACTATAAGCTGTTTGTTAATTACATAAAAAATTTAGCTTAAAGTAACTTAAAAGCTCATACTTCAAGAAAATTATATCTCTCTATCTTTATAGTTTTTATTTTTTTTAAAGCACACAATTCAAGAAAAATATATAAAAGCTTAAAAAAAGCTCTTTTTAAGAGCTTTTAACTTTTAGCTTTTTTCTTCATTATAAAAAAAAAACTTTTTATTATAAATTTTTTTCTCAAAATCTGTTTGGCTTAACTTATATTTATAAGTAACTTCTAACTTAAAAAATATATCCAAATAGGCACTTAATCACCGACTAAACTCCATACTTATATATAAATTCATATACTCGAGTATATTTAATGGATTGAAGTTTTTACTCGAGTATTACATTAAATACTCCAGTACAATGTAGCGTTACAAATAAGCCATTGAATGTTTTTTAAACTGACTTGTAGTTTTTATTTTTTAAACAAAAACTATAATAATAATAGTTTCATATTAAATTTTTAATTTAAAACATTATACTTTTTGTGAGTTAAATTTAATTATATTAGAAACATGTTTTGTAATATATAAAAAAATAATATTTTAATTTATATAAAATAATATAATTTTAACCAATAAAAAATTGTAAAACTTGAACTATGGTTTGCCATTGATTTATTAAAAAATAAAATTCATGTCTAACATTAAAGTCTAATATAAAACTAACGCAATTTATCTTAGAAAACAACTTTGAAAAAAAAAATACTTCACTACAAATGAAACGTTTATTCCTCATCGACTAACCAAACCAAAAATGGTTGATCGATCATTCTATCTTTAATTATAGTTCACATCGATATAGCTCAAAATAATTGTTTTCATTATTTAAACCCTCGATCAATTATATAAACCCTCCAAAAATGGTAGATGCATTAATTAGATTTTGAAATATGGAGTTACACGCGTGACGTTTAGCATCTCCGAGCGATATTTATGTGGTCCGGGAGCAAAAAAGATTTGGTGGAGCTGAAGTAAAAAAAAGAAAGAAAAAGTTGAGGAGAGAAGTGAGAGAAGAGAGAAAAAAAATTGTCCAAATGTCAAATTTTAAGTAGAAGGACCATGATAATCCTAGAGCATATTAAAAAATTCCCGCATGTGAGCAATTAAAACTTTGATATATGATGTCAACTTGTTAAAATGAAAAAACATAAAAATAAATTTAACAACTCCATCCAAGTAATGCATCTACCCTTTCTTAAAACTCCTGGACTTTTCTATTTTCCTATCTCCTCAACGGCATTATTATGTCTTCTTTCATTTCTTTCACAAGAATTTGGCATCTCCAATCTCAATTGTGTCCACTCCCAGCAATTTGGCACTCGTTTTTCACTGAATAACATGAAATGAAGGCTTATTTAATGCTTCTTTTCTCCCTCCTCTCTTCTCCAGATCATTATAATGTTGTAGAAAAGGATAAAAAGGAAGGGGCACGAAGAATTGAAAGGAGGGTTTTAAAAAAACCTAATCCGTCTGTAAAGAACCTTGAGGTCACCACCCTAAAAGCTAGCTCAAAGGGTGGGAGTGTCCAAGGCATTATAAACTCCACATTAGTTGCACATACAACCAATGTGGGACTATATATCTCAACACGCCCCCTCACACGAGAGCCCATTGGGCTTAAAGAGTGGACAATGCAACAGGCCCAACCTACCTGTGCTAAGAAACGCCACAAGAGAAAGTGGGGGGCGGCGAGGCTCTGATACCATGTAAAGAACCTTGAGGTCACCACCCTAAAAGCTAGCTCAAAGGGTGGGAGTGTCCAAGGCCTTATAAACTCCACATTAGTTGCACATACAACCAATGTGAGACTATATATCTCAACACCGTCACATATACTCGAGTATGCCACCCGGATACTCAAGTAAATAATGCTTCCCAAAACTCATATTATAAATAATATTCGAATATTCTTTAATATGCTCGAGTATGTATATTTTTTCGCAAAATACTCTAGTATAAAGTCATATATTCAAGAATATGACTTGGTCAACGGGGGGCATATGAGTGAATTTTTTTTTTTTTTGAAGTACATGGGAATTGAACTGCAACACACACACCCCACCACCACTAGGCTAGCCCTAGTGGGTTTATGAGTGAAATATTTTGAAACGATGACATAATGATAATTTTCATTGTAAAAAAGGCAAGAGGGTCAAAAAAACCATCATGCATCTCTATGGTTATTTTTTTTTTGAAGTTAACTCAACTCTAATTACCTCTTTGAGGAGGGTTGGTTCCCTCCTCATATGTTTTGACTCTTTAAGTCGACTATTGGACTAATCCGGAGTGTGGGACGAGTCAGATGTGAAAATATTTAAATTCCTCCAAAGGTGACATGTGGAGATCGAACCGAGGCATTTCTTTTCCACTTACTCAGCTCCGTGTTGCTACCAACTGAACTAACATCATTTGGCCAACTCTATGGTTATTAACGATAACTTTTAAGAATTGAAAAATATTAGACAGTCAAAATTTAAATTCAAATAAATTTACATTATTATTAACTTTTAAATAAATCGATAGTTTCCATTACTATAGTTTATCTAAGAATCACTTTTACTCGATCTAATTGACTATCAATTTTTTTCTCAAAATGGTTATGTAGGATAATCATAATCATAGGTAAATCAATGATTATGGTTTAATAACTATCAATTTTAATATATTTTTTCTCTACTCTTTTATCATCATTAATACACTTTAGTATGGTCATGTCATGTCTTTTTTAACACGGAAGGACCAACTTCCCTATATATTACATTACTCGTTAAGAATAATTATTTGTATTCCAAAAGATCAAAATAAATTTACGTCTCGTTAAAAAAAATAGTTACCTATGTAAACGAATCAAGTAAAGTTAAGAAAACTGCGAATAGTTATTAATTATTATTGAGTAGTCATTTGTTTCATTGATTGACTAGCAGCAACAAGCCAACAAATGTCAAATAAAGTTCTTTCAAAAAAATGAAATTATGGAAAATTTACAAATGAATATTACTTATTAATGAGTTGCTATTTATTCATATTGGCGACTCCTACTTTTATTCAGAATATTTTTGTCTATTAAGTGAAATATTATGTTCCCCGTCTTTAAATGAATTTTGTGTGATGCTTTCTAATAATTTAAACTTTTGTGTTTCATAAAATTAAATATTCATCTTTACTCGTCCTTACCATTAATTTTCTCTACAATTAAATATTCTTTTATGTCTTGCTAATTTGGTTAATTTTAAACATGATTTATTAAATAATTTAAAAAGAGTACATTTTTGGGATTATTGAAAATGTTATTTTCTTTTTTTTAATCTGGTTAACCAAAGAAAGTGTTATATTAATTAATTTTAAAAATGATTGATTTTTACGATATTTTTGTAGGGATTAACATTTTTCCTTATCATGGGAGATAATTTTATCTCCTGCATTTCCAGAACGACTTCGTTTTAGGGTTTAAGATAAAAATAAGGATATTTTAGTAAAATTCATAATACAAGAGAAAAATAAATAAAATACCCTTTATTTATTTATTTTTGGATAAACCATAGTTATCTTTATGAGAAGCAATCCTATTTGAGCGGATCCAGGATTAAGACTTTAAACCCCTCTCAATGATGGTCTGAAATACCATTTATTTCTTTTATTTTTTTGGTAAGCTACCCTTTATTTTTAATCCTAAACAATGTTGTTGAATCGATCGTGTATCGTTTGGCCTATTTTTTGTATCATGTACACTGAATCGTATTGAATAGTAAGATATAAAAATATAATAAAAAATAATTTACAAATATATAATATAATTAATATCATATAAATCCAAATTCCAGGAAAGATCCCATAAGCAAAATAGATAAGTAATTAAAGTGCAACCAGTTATTCTCTTACTCATCAGTCATTAAGACTAATATTATCACTATTATTATTATTAGCATATATTAGTGACAACTAATCTATCATCCTCTTCCAAAAAATATTTTTTTTAGGTTTTTTTTAATTTAAATCGCAAATCACATCTTTATTTCTTTATTTTATATTAAAAGTTACGGATTTTTATTTAATTTTTGTATCGTATTCGTATCGTATCGTTTGATATGAACCCCTTTCTGATACACATCACGATACGTATCGTAGGGCTTATAAATCGTATCATATCGTGTATCTCAAAATACAAATAACTATGATCCTGAATACCAAAATAATATTATTTTGGGATTACATGAAAAATACTTTTCCACCAAATGGTGGTAACTCAGTTAGGGCATGGGAGCTAAGCAGGTGGGGGTGAGAGCATGTGTTTGAATCTCCTCAATACCACCTTTGGGAGGGGTTTAAAGCCTTAATCTTGGACCCGCCTCGAATCGGATTAATTGCGAATCAATGAATCGATTGTAATATTTCTAAAAAAAAAAAGAAATACTTTTCCCATTTTTTTTATTAAGAAATTAAATTGGTGTCGCACGTATCACGTGAACATTCAGTCAACCATTTAAGTATCAATTTAATCAATCAATATCAATTAAAATAAACGGAAAAAGGAAACAATAGCTAAATCTTCTCTTTAAATTACAATTCCAGGCAAAGAGTAGCATTAGCTAAATCTTCTCTTTAAATTTTATTTGATTGAAATGTTTATTATTTTTCGGATTTTCTTCTAATAGTCAATAGGATTAAGGATATTTTCTTATAAAATAGTAGCAAAGAGATGTAGCGAAAAACAGGAGGAGACGCCGCCATACGAAAATTGGAGTGAGGTTTGAAGTTATAATGTCAAGAGCAATGCTTCTTAGACTACAAGAAACCACAGTACAGCAATCCTATAACGATGCATCACATGATGAGTACTACTGGTGGGTTGGTCTCGGCTTTGTAGTTCTCATCTTCATTACTATGTTGGTCGTACTTGCTGTTATTATGTGCTCTGGAAAAAGAATCATTCCGTTTGGCCAACATCACATACAAAACCAAGCCACATGCACACCCAACCTTTGATTTCTATGTCGGGTTTTTTTTTTTTTTTTTTTTTTTTTTTTTTTTTTCAACAATGTTGTAGCTCACTTCAATAGCTTGTTTCCCTGTTATTTGTTTCAATTATTGTTTTTGTTTTTTTGTCCTATTGATTGAATAAACCTTGTCGAGTTGTCAAAGCTTATTTTCCCCTTGAGATGTAATTTTCATATATTATATAATTAGGCTGGCTGCATTACTCGTTCATGCAGTATACTACTATCCATGGATTCGTTAAAAATTTACAATTTAATTTTACATACATGTTTCACTGTGTGTAAAGAACCTTGGGATACACCACCCCAAAAGCTAGGTGAGAGTGCCCAAGGCCTTATAAACTTCACATTAGTTGCACATACAACCAATGTGAGACTATATATCTCAACACGCCCCCTCACACAAGAGCCCATTGGGCTTGAAGAGTGGACAATGCAACAGGCCCAGCCTACCTGTGCTAAGAAGCGCCACAAGAGAAAGTGGGGGGCGGCGAGGCTCTGATACCATGTTAAGAACCTTGGGATACACCACCCCAAAAGCTAGCTCAAAGGGTGAGAGTGCCCAAGGCCTTATAAACTTCACATTAGTTACACATACAACCAATGTGGGACTATATATCTCAACATTATGTCTCTTAAATTATGTTATTGGTTTACGACGAATAAAAAAAAAAAATATTTGGCAGTGGTGGCTGGGGTTAGCAGTAGAATCGCATGGTGGTAGGGTGGTGAACAGTGGTGGTGAGATAGTTAAATGGAGCGCAGCGCCGGCAGCGGAAATACGCATTTCTTTTTAAACGTAGTAAAATATAGGATTCGTGTGACATTATTTATAAAATGTGGGTAAAATAAATAAAATTAAGTGACTTATTTGTTCCTTCTAAGTTAAACTGATGTATTAAATCGTCAATGTTACATGTTATAGATGTATTCCATGGAGGGTAAAATATATCAATGTAGGGATGTTCATAATAAGAATGGTTGAAACCAAGATATTGTTTAAGCTTCTCATGTACTATATATCAAAGGGGAGAATATGTGTAAAATGATTATGGTGGCTCTACACTGTTGCAAAGTAAAAACTCATAAGAACATAGGATGATAGATGCCCCTTCCATGAGACAACTTCCATGAGACAAAGAGGTATTTAGAGAGGAGATATCTCTCTCAAACGTGGGAGAGAGAATGGGAAAAGTTATTAACTTAGTCATGCCTAATCTTTGAGATTAGGCATGCGGCACCAATTGTTAGTGTACAATGGGCATCAGTACAGGAAAAAATAAAAGGAGAAATTCTTTGTGTTAAACCTTTATGGCTCATCATGGGATGCCATAGATGTGAGCTACTAATATTGGATCCAGCTTATTAGGCATTAAAGGGATGGCCAAAACAACATAAATAGTTGAATAATGAATATTTTTCTAGTCAATGATAGTTCGAGGAATATAGATATATTTTTGTCTTAAAACTAGCCTACAATGTAACTAGATTACTTGAAATTCCAAGAACAGGGTAATAAGTTGTAATTTTTCCTATTGTTTTAAGGCAAAAAAATTAGTTTAATGTTTTTTAATAAAATAATTACGCATTTATTACAGCTTTGGAAATAATTACAGAACTATTGCACAATGTGACACACTTTTTGGGCGTCACATGTGAGTGTGACACCCCATTGAGGCGTCTCATCCTAAGCGGAGACGCCCCAATGGGACGTCACTTATCAGGTGTTGACACGTATTATTTTTTTTTCCAAGAAAAAAAATTATTTAATCATAAAACTTTTGAAGGCCATAACTTTTGACTCGGGTATTCAAATCAGGTAATTCTTTTTTTGATTCCACATAACTTTTCGAGATCTACGCAATGACATCTCATTTGATATATTTTATTTCTCACAAACATAATTTAAATTTAAATCAGGTAATCCTTCTTCCTTAGAGATTTAGAATATTTATTTAATTATTTCCTTTATTAATACAGATTTTTCAAATTGATTTTTGAGTTTAAATAACAAATCAAATTTTTATTTTGTTTTCCTTATTAATAATAATTGTTACTTTTAATTTAAATCACAAATCCAATTTTTTATAATAAAAATAAAAATAAAATTATTTTTTTAATTTAAATCACACATCAAATCTTGATTTATTTTTTATATTAAATCACAAACGCAGAACTCTGAGGCTTCTGAATTTAAAAATGTGACACTGTCAACACGTGTCAACACCTGACACATCACCAATCACCTCTAAATTGGTTTTCAATCAAGAGACAATCACGCCTAATTTAGGTAATTTTATTTTTGAAAAACATTTATAAGCCATCATTAATTTCAGACCACGAATAATAGCCCAGAAGCTTATAGCATTAATCATTAATTTCAAAAATAATATCCTTCTTCCTTAGAGATTTAGAATGTTTATTTAATTATTTCCTTTATTTCTACAGATTTTTCAAATTTATTTTGTAGTTTAAATCACAAATCAAATCTTTATTTTGTTTTTCTTATTAATAATAATTTTTATTTTTATTTTTAATTTAAATCACAAACCAAATTTTTGTTATAATAAAAAAAAATTATAGAAAAAATTTAAATCACAAATCAAAATTTTATTTATTTATTTTATATTAAATCACAAACCCAGAACTCAGAGGCTTCTGGGTTTAACCGCTCTTATAATACTATTCTTGCAAATTAAAATTATGTTTGTGAGAAATAAAATATATCAAATGAGATGTCATTGCGTAGGTCTCGTAAAGTTATGTGGAATCAAAAAAGAATTACCTGATTTGGATACCCGAGTCAAAAGTTATGGCTTTCAAAAGTTATGGAAAAAAAAAATGACACGTGTCAACACCTGATGAATGACGCCCCATTGGGGCGTCTCCCCTTGGAATAAATCTTTGGTACTACTTCTGTACCTAGATTCAGTGCATCCCATGAATGAGAGCCTTACATATCAGATGAGAGAAAAAAAATTTGACAGAAAAAAAAAATATTTTAGCTGATATGTAATATTTTCATTGGTGGGATGCACTAAATCTTTGGTACAACAGTAGTACCAAAGATTTATTCCTCCCCTTAGGGTGAGACGCCTCAATGGGGCGTCTCATGTGACGCCTAAAAGAGGCGTCACATTGTGTAATAGATCTGTAATTATTCTCAAAACTGTAATAAATGCGTAATTATTTTATTAAAAAGCATTAAATTAATTTTTTTTGCCATTGTTTTAAAGAATCAAATTTATAGATTTAACCGGTTTTCATGAAAAAAAAATTCATTTTATTATTATTATTATCTACTTGAGCAAGCCATCGTTATCATTTAAATTTCAAATTTACAAGCAGAAGATCAAACATATTAACACTTTTACACTGTATATGTTTTAAGCTAGATCCAAAATAATATAGATAAATGTATTTATGGGAGATGATTTTCTCATGTCACTTGCTAAGAAATCATCTCCTGTTGCCATACTAATTTTTTTTTTTTTTAAGTTTTTTTTTTTTTTTTTTTTTTTTTTTTAATGGTGATGGATCCCACTATGTAAATGTCTCTATGGCAGAAGATATATATAAACTGAAACATAAGAAAATGTTTGCCTATATTTATACGAGCAACCAGCCAAAATGCTATAGTCTACTACTCTTCAATGTATGTAAAAAAATTGGTCCAAAGAGAGAACAGTACTTCATTGCATGAGCAATTCAATGAATTCATGACGACTCTTTCCACAATATTGACCGTTTCCATTTGAATTTTTCTGTTAACGTTACCAAAAATTATACTTCATTAAAAATAATTAAGATAAAAGGCAGAATTATCTAAATTGACTAGCGTAAGTGTTCAACCAGTTAGTTTTCTTTTTAATTTATTAGATAGCTACTGAATTTGTTTATTTCAACCTGTTTAATGTAGCTAAAATGTCGTATCCAAACACACAATTTTAAATTCAAAGTTTTTACAAGTACCATCATACATTGAAGCATTGTCACTGTTCATAAATCCAACACTTGGTTTGACTTGATGTGCTTGTCATCAGGCAGATATGGAAAGATCTACCAAAGGTTATATGCTAGTTGTCACAGAATGTCCCACCAAGTTTGCTGCAAACAGAAAATGAAAGCCTACAAAACCTTTTCTTTATGATTGACCTCTAATCCACTTCAGTTCTCATAACAAGCGACAAAAATTTCCCTTAACAGTAGCCAATAAACATTTCATCGGTAGAAGTGCAAACCTTAATCAACAATAGTAGATGAAGATTTCGAGTTTAATAAATTGCATAATCTACTTCGAAAATCACCTTTCCTAGGTGAGTCTATATTTCATTCGTGTCCAAAAGAACTCAAAAATAGACTTTAAAGTGAAAAAGAAACCAAAAAGAGAAGTAAGAGAGTTGACAACAAGTCACGTGGAGCATTTTAACTCAAGCAAATCTAAATTAAAAGCTTTACATGCCTATATGATGTATATTTACTTTCGGAAGCCCTTCTCAGAACTCAAGTATACGCCTTTTCAATAGGGTGTCTTAGCTGCAGGACACTCATTCTAGTGACATTGTGTGATTTAGAATAGCTTGCCTTGTTGTTGGGTTCCACTCCTCATCATTGCACAAAATTCTTCATAGTTTATTCTACCATCCTGAGAAACCACAAAAACGAGTGTTAATTATGGAACTAGAATATGAAACTTGTAGCAAGTCAATACAACATATAGGCTTACATTATCTGTATCAACTTCAGATATAATTTCCTTGATTGTATCTTCGTCACCCATACCATATTCCTTCATGGCTGTTTCCAGTTCATCTCTTGTAATAAACCTGTGATGGAATCAAACAAAAATCAAGGTAGATTTTGTCATTACTCTTGAAATCCAAACAAGTTAGAGCTATTCATCAATTAATGATTTTGTAATGAATGTGCTTCTTGATGTAGGAAGAAATGGGATTTCTGGTAATTGATCCTTGTTTATTATTAAAACCTTAAACATATGCATGAAACTTGGTTGACAGACATGACACAAACTTCAGACGTTGTACCCAATAGGCAAAAGATTCACAAGGAACATAGTGAAACTTCAAAGTTAAAAGCAACTGAGGTTGAGAATGCATACTCAGGGAAAAATATTAGCTAATTCCATAATGTGATAGATTGGAAAAGAAATACTAATTCCCAATAGGACTTACCCACTGTTGTCTTTATCAAAATATTGGAAGGCCTTGTAAAGATGCTCATCTCTTTCTAATCTGTGTCTATGCATTGTAGCAGTGATGAATTCTATGTAGTCAATTGTGCCATCTCCATCAACATCAGCCTAAATTTAAGCAAAAGAATGTAAGTTTGGAAGAATAAAAGGGAAAAAAAAAATAGAGGTTGAATCTTGTAAATCAATAATAGCTTACAGCTTCCAGAAGCTGCTGCACTTCAGCTTCAGTAAGCTTTGAGCCAAGTCTTTGCAATCCTGCCCTCAGTTCCTCATAGGTGATTGTACCACTATTGTCAGTGTCAATATTTGTAAACATTGCCTTCAAACCTTGGATCTCTTCTTCAGAGAGATTTTCAGCAATGACCTAAAAGATTATTCAAAATCCACTCAGTTCTTTTGAATGAAGTTACATAAATTCGAGTTAGAATGAGAACACTAGAAAATATTTCATGTCTCTCAATGTGTAGTTATTGACTGAAACATGCATTGGCTTAAAAATTAGCTTTTTCTATTTTTAGCAGTTGATCCATAGGCACAGAGGTACCAAGTATGCCATCTAACAGAATAAGCTTAAAAAAGCACTGTGGTCTCTTCATGCAGCTTGTGGCTGGACTAACCTTGAGGGCAAGTTTCTTTAGTTTATTCATTGCTCTGAATTGCTTCATTCTGGAAAGGACTGCACTGTCTATTGGCTTGTCGGAAGCATTTCCATCTTCTTTAATCCATGGGTGCTCTGATTATTCATACAGTACATGGTTTCAATTAGTACAGAAATTACAATAAATTCACCAAGAAAATTCTTAAGGATGCCACAATCATCCTAAAAGTAATGGGAAACAGGTACATGTCACTGCATCGAAACATCGAAACTTAGTTACTATCTTCCTTCATGTTCAATAGTATTTCTTTTTCTATCAGATACAGAATATCCTGTAAGAAACAATTGACATGCTTAATAGATTTGTGAATATATCATCTCTGTAAAGTCTCAAGTCTCAATAACTAACATGTTCACATGCAACATTGGTATGTGTTGTCACACCTATAAGTTTTTAAGCCATGAATTCATGTTTTATGTGCAGAACTATTAACTATAACAACTGGTATATATTGGGCGTGGAAAAAAACTATACCCCTCCAATATCTTATCTTCTCAATCTCCCCCAAGTACACACATAAAAGTACACACATAAAAGGACCAAGTGGGAAGGAAAGTCAATCTATCAGACACAATTCAGATGAAGTTAAATAAATTTCACGTATAATGAGGAGAAATTACAATAAAAGTTACCTACCAAGAACCTGAGCAGAAGTAATGCGTTTCTTTGGATCCTGTATAAGCATCTTACGAACAAGGTCCTTAGCACTATTTGATATGCTTGGCCATGGATGACTTTCAAAATCAATATGACCTTTCTGTATGGCATCAAATATTCCCTTTTCCGTCTCTATAGACACATTTTATGAAAAAAAAATTAGTCAAGCCTAAAACGTAATAGAGGGGAAAAAAGAAGAAGCTAGCCTCCAATACAAGGTGATTATCCTATTATGAAAATATCAAAGTGACAGTTTACCTGCCCAAAATGGAGGTACGCCACTAAGTAAGATATAAAATATAACTCCTGCACTCCATATATCTATTTCCTTCCCATATCTACGACGTAGAACTTCTGGAGCAACATAATAGGCACTGCCAACTATATCACGATACACCTTTCCTGGAAAAATAAATAAATAATAAAAAGTTTAGTATTCACTGATCAAGAGACAAGACATTGCCTAACTAACTATACAAAATTTGATTAGTTTTGGAAAGAAAACTACACAATTTTTCCCTAAAAACTTTAGCAGCTTATTCAACGCTAAAATTTCAAGATTATGCTACATTTCACATACTTTTCATTCTTGAATTCACAAATATTAAAAAATTTAAATATTAAAACAAAAGACCATGAATGAATAAGAAATTTACCTTCCTCAATGAATACCGACAAGCCAAAATCTGTGGCCTTGAGAATTGCATTTTCATCCTTACTGGACAATAAGAAATTCTCAGGCTTCAGATCCCTATGCATCACACCCATAAAATGGCAGATATGAACAACATTAACAATTTGTCTACATATTGAAGCTGCAGCTCTTTCACTGTAGTGCCCCTTGGCAATAATCCTATCAAAAAGTTCACCACCTGCACATAGCTCCATAACAACATGAACCGAATGCTTATCCTCATAAGCACCTTTGAACTCAACAATGTTGGGTTGTCCACTCAAATGCTGCATAATTTGAATCTCCCTCTTTATATCCTCCTTATCAGATTTGCTAACAAGCTTCCTCTTTGAAATGGACTTGCAAGCATATCGCAAGCCAGTTGAATTCTCAGTGCACAAATAAGTCACCCCAAATTGGCCTCTCCCCAATTCTTTCCCCAATGTATAGAACTGCCTAACATCCTCAAATGGTTTCCCAAGAATTGTATCTGACCATTGAACATGTTTTGGGCTCATGGCAAAAACAGTGGGCTTCCATGGTGCCTGAGGTGGTGCTGCTGCATCAGGGGCTTTTGATTGGTTGACAAAAGGTTCATGAGTCTTATGATTACGCATACCACCAGCCCCAACATGTCTGTAAACAAGGTCTTCTGGTTCTGATCCTTTTTTACTCAGACAACAACCCATGATTATGACACAAAAACAGAAGGAAAGAAAAGATTTTTATCAGGTAACACAACACTGCCTGAAAGTGATTCAGTCAAAATATGAAAAAGGATTGAACCCAGATGAGAATTCAAGAAGACTAAGCAGATTGATGACTAAAGTATAAAGCTTTGTATATTCAGATGAGGCCAGGGGGAAGAATATACATAGTGTGAAAAAGCCAAAGTTTGAAACTTTGATTCAGAAGGGTATGTGGGGAAATGGATCAAAGTATCAGGTTTTATAAAAATAGAGACTAGAAAGAGTCTGAATTCTGAAACGGAAAGGATAAAACCATAAAGTGGGTGAGAATCAGCAATCAGAATCAGCAATCAGGAACCGAGTCAACTATGGGATTTGGATTTAAGCAACGTTACCTAAAAATTCTGAAGTTATTTACGATGAAAACAAGATAAAGGAAAGCCACCAATAATCCAGAGAAAAGAATATAAAGAGAAGCTTCCTTCTTAAAGGGACACCTGCTATGTTCGTGACTCTAGGTCCGAATCAGAGATGCGTCTTCTAGTATCACAAGACATTATTCTATTGCTTCACTCATGAAACATGGTGCCACCTAAATAGCTAATTAATGTTCGTAAAAATTTTATTTACTCTAAGATGCTCATGTTTGGCATATGTTTCTCTTGTAACATCTCTTATTATTTTGTCTGTTCGTATACAACTAGAAAAAAAAAAAAAAAAAAAAACACTAATAGAAGTTATTTAGAACTTATCCATATTTAAGGCTATATTTAAATAAATATAATACTTATTACTTTATAAAATAAGTAAGGGTAATATAAAATAAACTTGAGCTTGATTTCGTTAATCAAAAATTCTAATTTTCTAAAAAGTAATGGTGATTCTTAATTCTACAAATGAATCATGAAATTGAATCATTATCTTATATTTGCGTAAACTACAAGTGAAAGACTCATTTAATCACAAATGAAATCATGATAAACTTGTTAAGAAAAAAACAAATACGTTGTGATTGATCATGGTGATGTCATGACAATCGGTAAAGTGGGACCCACTGACACGTAAGAAATAAACGTGGACACGTGGTATTAAGTCGATTTTGAGAGTAATTAGGGCTGAAACAAACAAGAAAAGTAGAAAACGTGTACACGAGGAAGTGCACCTTAACGATCATTGGCTAGCACACGGTTTTGATTTCATTTTTCTTCTTTTCTGAGAGTGAATCATACATTTTCTGTCAAATTCCCAAATCCGGTGTTTCAAATAAATTTCCTTCATAACACGGATTCGCTGTATCTGCATAATTCATTTGCTTAAGGGACCACTTCAAATCAAATTGTTTTATAATTAGTAAATGGGGAAGATATTGAAATAATTAATTAGTGTTATTATTAATGTTACTATCAATCAATTTCACCATTAGATTAATTATGTTGATCTAATAATTATATTTATTTTCATCTTTGTATGATTATAATTCTTCATATTTAATACTTTATATTTATTTTCATCTTCGTATGATTATGATTTTTCATATTTAATGTTTTCACATTAAATATGGGGAATCATAATCATACAAAGATAAAAATAAATATAACTGTTTGATCAATATAATCGATCTAACGGTGAAATTGATTGATAATAACATTGATAATAATACTAATTGATTGTTACAATACCATATTGCTTAGTAAATTAGATCAAAATGACTTAGGTTCTTAAATATCAAACTAAATCACAACTTTAAATAATATTTTATTTGGATTGTATTGTTTGACCGATTGTTTATATCGTGATTAGTATAAATAATAAGATATTGAAATATAATAAAAAATAATTTAAAAATATATAATTAAAATAAATATTTATTTAATTATTTTCTATATTAATATAGATTTTTTAAATTAATTTTTAAGTTTAAATCACAAATCAAATCTTTATTTTCTTTTTGTATTAATAATAATTTTTTAGATTTTTAATTTAAATAATAAATCAAATTATTATTATTATTTATATATTAAAAATTACAAATCTTAATTTAAGTATCGTATATATCGTATCGTATGATGCATTATCATTTCGTCCGATATAAATCCTTTTTCGATACTCCTCATGATATGTATTGTTGCGCTTATGAATTGTATCTTATCATACAAATCGTATCGTGTATCTTAAGATACTGATAATTATGATTTAACTTAATACATTTCAAAGATATTGTCCAATCAAATTCATTATATTTTAGCAATAATGAATAAATAAATAACAGCAAAATAATAATTTAACAATTTTAATGTTTTATGTGAAATATACATGTATAAACTATTAGACCAAAGACTTATATATTCAAACAAACTAAAACTAAACCACAAACCACAATTTACTCAATTTATTCAGAATTTTTGAACCCCTGACTCATCACTTTTTTCATTTTCTTTTTCTTTTTCTTTTTGTAGTGAAGTGTTTTTCTTTTACAAAAAAAGAAGATATTCAAGGGACTCGTCTTTTTATTTGTGTAGGAAAGAAAAGTTGCCTCCTTTAACATGAAAAATCATTTTTCCTTATTATATTATAGAAAAGCATTATTATGTTGGGTTTCGTGGATCTCTAGCCAATGTAGATAATTAATAATTTATCTTCAGTGAGCCAAAAATGATGTTATTTTGAGTTGAGAAAAATATATTTTTATAATTCTAATGTATTTCATAATTTTATTAATCGTTACCATTTTAATTTTCTAACCCCAAAACGATATCATTTTGAATTTGGGATAGGTTATTCTACCTACAATTTTTTCTGCCTACCTTTGCCTACCACTTTAAAAGATGATTAGATTAGAATCTCAATTAATATTTATCTTTCTCTCTCCTCTTTAGATTCTGATCTAACGATATTGAAGAATGATAGGCAAAGGTAGGCAGAAAAAATGATAGGTAGAATAACCTATCCCTTTGAATTTATTGAAGATAATTTTATCTCTAGTCATTGGAGAAATATTTTTCACCTATTATGTTATGGTTTCGCTACTCAAATTCTTAGCAAAATAATATGGTGTAAGTTATATATACAAATTTTGTATTTACAAACTACATTATGCATTCCTGTAATACATTTCTTGCGAAATCTATTTTTGAGAGTACATAATTGAGTTTGTAAGAGTTTATAAACAAAAAATTTTGTAAATATAATATTTTTCAAATACTATTATGATAGTTATTTTATTACAAATGGTATCGAATGATAATTTTAAAAAATAATCCGCTAAATTAAATATGTAAATAATGATATTACAAATAATTTTCTCTGGTTAAGACAAGAGAGAAATCCATTACTTTATATGCGCTTCACATAAAGCCCTCAAACGGGGAACACATTTCTCGAAAAAACAATTACCGAAACTAACTTCACATATAGTATGAGGTGAAGGGCATGTTTTTTTCCTGGTTTTTGGGGTAATACAGGGGTGGTCTTGCTTTGTTTAACTCTCCTGTCACAATGAAAGCAATTGCTTAAGTTTTGGAAGCTATAAAAGAACATAGCTTTCAAGTTATACTAACCTTCTTGAGTCCGCTTAGCTAGTTGAGTTGCTAAAGCAACCTTTATTTTTGTCGAGATGTCATTTTTTGTTTTGTTTTGTTCTGTTCTGGGTTTGGTTGGATGAGTGATTAAAACAGTGAATTAACAAAAGAGTGTTTATGTTGGTGAGGGCGAGTAGCGTGGCCTAGGCTGCAATGTCTTTATACAACTAGTATAACCAGGTGTTCTAGGCCCACATAATGGGCTTCACATATGTGGGCCTCCACGTAATCGAGAAATTATGGGTTTTATTTATTATGAGGTAAATCTCTTTATAAAAGAGATCGTATGATATCAGAATTTATCCATGATATAAACCCAAATGGATATGTTTGGTAGGCGTAAACATAGTCACCAATTAAAGGGCTAGCTACTTTATTTTAATAACTTTTATAAAGTTGCCATAACATTACTAACAAATTAATCTTGATAGGTGTAAAAAAAGATGTTGTGAAAGTAGATTGATGTTGCCAATTAACAGTACATATTACCCCATGTGATAATCGAAGGGATCATTGTTTTTCAACTTATAGTCCAACCCATCTACCACGTGATATGATGCTCTTCTGTTACTATATTATATCCCAAGCGAGTGCTCTGGTTAGGTTCTTAAAATAACAGCAATTAATGATTAAGGTTCAGCAGGGCTCATCATCCAAAATATTATTGTACCCCCCACCAAAAGCAATTAATTAATTTTATTTGGGGAACAGTCTAATGTAACGAAATCATAATCAGCTAGCCATGTTAATCACATACATGTCTTTTTGTTTCGAATCTTTCACTTCGCTCCAAAATTTCTTTTCAGTCGAAGTGCTAAGCTATTACAAGTGAAAACATGTTAACACACCAAAAACGTGACACAAGGACATATTGTTGTGCATAGTAGGACCACGTATTAAAGATGGGGGTGTCTGATTGCCTGTGGCTGTGATGCTCTGATATAATATTGGGCTTATGACTTCATCTTAAGTCAAAATATTCATAATCGTTAAGTAGATTGATAATTAGTTGATAGGCCATGCAAAAATATCACTGGTCTACCAGTACTTAAGAAGACAAATTGATATTTCAATTATGCATTCTCCATCTCTAATTGAAACAGCCAAAAGGCCCAAAACAGATGCATTAATATTAATATTCAGCCAAAAGGCCCAAAACATATTAATAAGTAACATATATAATTTCAATATAGCTTTAGCAGGCAAAGTTGATCGCGCATTTAGGGCATACGACAAGATACCTTGTTCATAAGAGTACCTGAAGGGAAGCCTCAACATGACTCATGTGATGCAAAGTTTGGCTTCAGTAATCCCACAATATGTGCAAAATAAGGTGACAAGAAATCATATAGTTATAAAAAACTTTTGGGACTGTAATTTTGAGGTTTTGTTCCTTACGAACAATACAGTGAAGATTGATTCTTCATCAACAAGCAGAATGCATATTATATTGAAATTCTTTAACTCTTAAGATTCTCAAATTAATTCCTACATAATATAAGTAACAAAAACATATTGCATTCAACTGTTCACAATTTTACTGTCATTTTTAACACCTTGAAGTAATCAAAATTGATATGAACATTTTTCTTATCTCATTTTGGGAAGCAAAGTAACCATGTTCTTAGATTTGATGCGCCAAGCTGAAAATGTTTTCGTTTGTTTCTGATAATGTCTTTGAAGAGTGCAGTTGCGGCTTCTCAATTCCTCCACACACACACACACATACACAAAAAAGGAAAACGAAAACCATATCCTAAAATAGCGTGATGAATTAAACATCTGTGTTTCACAACCACATATATACGTCAGGGACATTACTAAGAAAAGTAGAACGGGACCACAATTTACTCTATCACCTTACTGCTACAACTAGCTCTGCACACACTCTGACTCATCTCATAAAAATGGCATGGAAAAAATACCGTTCTCTACCTTTTGATTTTGAAACACATTAACATTGTCTTATCATCAATTTTTTGCAGTCCATGTTATTGTGCCTAACTATATAGTGCAGTTCACGTTGCACAGCTTAAAAAATAAGGGACAAAAACCCATTTATAGCTTAACTTGTGGTGAACAAATGAGAAAAAAGTCCAAAAAAAAGTTTTTTACTTTTTTTAAATTCCTTTATTATATTAACAAACAAAGGATCATGTTTTATTCATATCTCACCAAATTTTTGTTTGTATAGATATTTTGCAAATCAAATATATTAAGTTGTCGGCCATTTTGAGTATTTATTTAGAAAAACGAAGAAGATAATTACAGGTCAAGATGCATGACGTGCTCCATGAGACTAAATATCAAAGGCATATCTACCCAACAATTAATGCAATTAAGTCACTTGTTATTTATGTACTACTAACTCTCTGTATCTCAGCCCACAGAAGCAATCTAACCAGGAACCACCTTTCCAGCACCTTGTTTTAGTTAGTTTCCTGTTTTCCCTAGCTCTTGAAACAGCCCATCACGAACCTTAATATCTAAACTTTCCTTTATAGCAAGGAAAGGCGAGAAATATGAACTACAAGCACTAAGGATGGTCAATCCTACCACCACCTCAGTTAAGTTTTGTGTGATATGAAATTTTTAAGTTCTTATATTGGTTTAACTGACAATAACAGAAGAATACCAAAATCAATCCACTCAATGGTTTCAGGCCCCATTTGACCAATGAGAACTAGATGAACCCGGTGAATTAAGCATCACCATGATTTATCTACATGACTATATTTCATGACATTAGTGAAAACTAATTATTGTTTATATACCCTTTTAGGTAACCAACAAATTGACTCCAGCAGCCAAATTGAAAAACAAAAACAAGAAAAAAATGGTGGTAATTAAATCACCCTGTGGCGTCTTTTGTTTCTGGCATTTTCTGTGTGTTATAAACCTGTCCAGAGTTTTATTTTCATGTCCATAATACAGAGCAGTTCCCATTTATTTTACCTATTCTAATCATGCAGACCCCAAAATGCTACAATGTATGAGATTTTGGAGCTAGGGGAATAGTTTATGTCTTTCAAAATTTCAGTGATCTAAGCAGTAACATTCTTTTATTAACCATTAAATTCTAAACAGTACATTTACATATCAAAATTCTTGTATCACTTTTACACTTGTACCACTTTATTGTTTTATTATCTAAAAAAAGTAAGCAGCGTGAGAGTGATATTAGTTTTGCTGGCCTACTTAGATTCTATTGCTGGAAAGATAAGCTTTTTAAAAACTAAATAACATGGCTTCCCTCAGCCTATAAATGGTAGTCTATCTGCATCATTTCTAAGCAATACATTTAGTGCATTCTTATCCTCTCAATTTGAAATTCCTATTACCAACACTTCTCCAACTATGAGCAAGTGGTTTTCTGGAAAGATAGAAGCAGTAACAAGGTGTAAGGAAGTTTTTTCTTTGTGGGTTTTGGCTAGCATTGGCGGTTATGTAGTTGAGCTATTCATGAAAGCTATGGAGATAGTTCTCTTTTCTGTATTTACTTGCATTCTGGCATTAGGTATGACGCATTTCTCCCCTCTCTATTTGTTAGTAGCATTCACATGGCTCTTGCATTGGCTTTTAAAAACATTGCTATATAACGTTGTATATCTCATAATTTAGGCATGTAAATTAAGGTCTATGTCAAACATTTGGCTTTATATCTCAAAGTTATTGTAACTCATTCAAGTCAGATTAAGCTCTATATAGTAGTTGGCTCTGGGTAAACACTGAAAGCAGGAAAGTGAAGAAAGAGTGAGGGAATAAAATTAAATAGTGGTTGGCATTACTGCATTAGCCTCTTTAATTGTGAAGGTAATTGGAAATAATTTGTGTATGGTGCCATGAGCAATGTTTGATCTTGGCACAGGAGGGTCAGTAATAGGAACAATTGCCGGAGCCATCAAAGGCCAGACCACCGAAGCTGGTTTTCTTGATGGAGCTGTCAAAGGAGCAATTATAGGAGCCATTGCAGGCATAGAATTGGTGAGTTTTTCTGCTGTTGATGAGCCATTGTCCAAGGTAATACTGCTAGTTCCTTACTTTGGCAATACAATGTTGTATTTCTTTTCCAATGACCCATTTTCTCACCAGTAACTACTACCTAGTAGCTAGTAGCTAGACCAATTGTGCATGTTTAATATTTGGTTTTGAATTACAGGTTGCCCTGTTGAGCAGTTTATTCAATGGACAAGTCTTAATGGAATGGATATGTCCAGCTGTTGCACAAGCCTATGAGTTGCATGTAAGTATTAATATAAAAGCTAACTAAATGTAAAATTAATCTTCTGTAGACTATGTTTTGAGTTATTGGAATCAAAATTCTAATCACATTTGGTGAAACTCATTTGTTTCAGATCAACACGCCAGAAACTATTTACAGAGAAGTATCAGATATTTTTGATATCAAGGGAGTCGCAGGGATGCCCCAGAATATCATTCTTAAGCTTCCTTTTCAGCAATTCAACTCCAGCAAAATGTTGAAATTATACAATAAGTCGTGCTGCTCAATTTGCTTCCAGGTGAGAAATATCTCAGAGCCCTGTGAAATTTCCATGGTTCAAAGAATGTAAACAAAAGTTGGTTTTAGGTAACCAATAAATGAATAGACGCATTTCCGAATTAAATAGAATTAGAGTTAAATTTAAGAGGTATATTATATTTTAAAACTTTTTATTTATAAATTACATTATGTATTCTCGGGAATGTATTCTTAACTCGGTCTATTTTTAGCAATACATAGTTGAATTTGTAAAAATTTATAAATAAAAAATTTGTGAATATAACATTTCCCAAAATTTAATGTATAACCTATGACGTGACTAGGATGTATATACTTTCTTCCCTGGGTTATTGCTTCAATAAGTAAAACATCACTTGTTCCAGCAAAATTTCATTTATTTCATATTGAAACATGAATTCTTAAAACTTCATACTAAGTCTTCAAAATATTTCACTCATTTTACATTCAAAAAAAGATATTTCTGGAGTTAATGCAGATAAGTTATCTGTATTTACTTCCAAGACGACGTCGTTTTGATATTAAAATATTAAAAAATTATAATTATAAAGACTATAATAACCTTAAAATAAATTAAAATTACAAAAACACTATGATTTTCGCCCCAAACGACGTCGTATTGGACTTACTGCAAATAACTTATCTGCGGTAACTGCAGAAAAAATAAACCCTTATTAGTTCCTGAATACTTAAAGGGCTTTATTAATCTCATGTTGTCTCCTACCATAGAAATAATCATAGGTGGGGCTCACTCACTTAAAAAAAATTAAAAATTAAAAATTAAACTACATGAAAATCAATGGGTATGTAAGAAAGAGATATTATCTTAGGTGGCATAACAATAATATTTTCCATACTTAAAACCCAAAACAAATCTTAAAATGTTAGTTTCATAAGTTAGTTAGTCTGTAAGTTAAGGCCATTTTTGTTCACAAGTATAATTGTGACACGTTAAGTTGTTGACGTGGCCATCAGATGATAATGATTCCAGCTTGGATTAGAAAAATTCTCTTTTACTAGCTTGAAACACGTTTTTGATCCTAACTTAAAGGTTCTTTAATTCTATCTACGCTTCAAACAGCATCAAACTAGTTCACATCAAACATAAATTGGCTTGATTGGTGGGGGCTAAGAATCTGCGTATATTAATTTCAATCTGACAGACTAATATGAAACTAATAGTATCAATTCATAAATGATCTAATTAAGCTGGTTCAACGCAACATGTTAAATTGGTAACCTAAAACTAAAACAAATATGTCACACACTGGGTGCGTAGGTTTCAAGAATTTAATTACTACTAAAAAATTAGTATGATTTCTCGCGAACCAAAACTAATATTTTAGGAACATGGTGGTAATAAGCTTTAAAAAATTTGAGACTATTATTTTCTTAAAACCGAAGTGGTATTTTACTCATAATATTTTCATAGGATGAATGCATTTTATGCTCATCGAAATTTATTTTAACCTAATAATATTCTTTCCTGCTCCATCATTATTTTAACATGCATATGACATTGAACCAAGTGAAAATACTCATTATTTGACCTAAACTTATACACAAATAAAATTTTTGTGCAGTATCAATACTTATTATAATTTAATAATCATATTGATTAAATCATTTTTTACAAGAAACCCTTATATAGTATATATATATATATATATATATATATATATATATATATATATATATATATATATATCTTAACACGCATATTAAATCTTTATATTTTGATTTACAGGATTTTGAGGATGGAGAGTTGGTCAGGATACTTCCAAAATGTGGCCACGTTTTTCATTTAGAATGTATAGACAAGTGGTTAATCCAACAAGGATCATGCCCAATGTGTAGAACTTATGTTCCAGACCACATTCGTGAATAGTAGCGTTTTTGTGGTTGCAAAGTAGGTTGAGTTGTTTACAAAAAAAAAAAAAGTAGGTTGAGTTATTGCCATGCATTAACCTCGTGATGCCGAAGTTATGAAGTTATTGTGAATACAAAAAAAAAAAAAAAAAAATGCTGATACTAGTAAATGAAATTAAAAGGGTATGAAGTTGACAGTGAAAGGAAATAAAGCTTTAATTTTGATTCGACCAATGAGATTCAATATGTTGTAATGATATTTCCCTTGAAAGAGGCACATGATCATGTATTTATTTTTCATGAGCCAGTGGAAACAGGTGGTTGGACATTTTTTTCTAACAACATTTACCACATATTTCAACAACAAATTTTGTCGCAAACAGCTAGCCTATCAGAATAGGTTGGCACACCAGATTTTTTACTTCTTCTTTTTCATCAACATTTTATAATAAAGACCTTTTTGAAACAATTTTATTCATTTTTGTTTTGTTTTAGAATACAGTGAATGTAAACATTAATCAACAGTATCACTTTATGTTCTTTTCATCATTTTCAATCAATCAAGAAAACGATAAACCCAAACTGTTATTTGGGCCTGGCCCACGATGACGAAGATGTCCGAGCCAATTAGCCCAAAATCGTAAATGAGTACCTCGGATAAGGGTAATTCTGGAAAAGTAAACACCATTTCAGAATCCAAAAGACAAAGACTGAGGTTGTGTAATGTGTTCAGAGTGAGAGTAAGAGTGGCAGTGTGATGGCGTCGTGGTGTGCTGCGAGGTGCTTTCAAATTCCGGCGATGGACGGCGGTGCAATGTGCAACCGGGCTTCATTGGCCGCCGGAGTAGGGTTTTTATCGGTGGCCGGCACCTCTTTGTGGCGTTCCTCTTCATCATCGAAGCGCGCTTTGCCATTCACTTGCTTGAGCATTTCTTCTGATGCCCGTAAGTGCAGGGAGTTCGTTATGGGAACGGTTTTTCTGTTAATTTCTAACCATGGAATTTTCGAAATCCTATGCTGTCAATCATTTTCTGCTCCCTTGATTCGTAGATATTAAGGAAGCTGTTCAAACAGAAAGAGCCCCTGCGGCTTTGGGGCCATATTCTCAAGCAATCAAAGCCAACAACGCTCTTTATCTGTCAGGTGTTCTTGGCCTTGTTCCCGAGGTTTGCCAACAAGTTCAATATTTTTGTATACATGTGCATTTATAGTGTTTGTTTCTTCCATTTCGTGCCCTTATAATGTTAATACGTGTTTTTTGCTCTCTAATGCAGACGGGGAAGTTCATCTCTGATAATGTTGAAGATCAAACAGAACAGGTACCAAATGAGAACTTTGAACTTTGATTGCTATTTATTGCTTTATTTTCTCTTGCTTCCTGTACTCGTGGATGATGCTGATTTTATCTTGGTATATCAACAATCAGGACTCAATAGTTGTTGCTTTGCTTGGTTCTAAAATCTTGGTTTTCAGTTTTGGTTTACTTGGTCTTGATTTGCTTATGCTTTCTACAAAAGGCTAACACCTGATGCTCAGTGGTTTTTGTGAAGTTTAAGTTTTCACGATCTTGAAGTGGGAAATTTTCCCTCTACCCTTATATGAAGGTTCTTATTAATGATTCAAAATAATTGCTAAGAATTAGAAAGCTCACCGCCTAAACATTTGTGAAAATGGACCAGCACTTGTATATTATTTCAAGAAAAGTATCTAACTTCCAAAACTTCAAGGAAAAAGAAAAATAACTTTTCAATGATCAAGAGATGCTAGTGAACCTAACTGGAGAACATTATCGATCTGTCTCAGCGTGATAGAAGCGAAAACAACATTTTGCCCTTTGGATGGGAGCTTGAACTTTAGCTGCCAGAGGAGTTAACTTTGGCAATTTCCAATAAAATAGTGGTGCTTAGTCCGATAAATTTTTATGCACGTCTTTTTTTCTTTCCTGCAGAAGCCGAAAACCAATATTTGAATGTCATTGTTGTACGCATGTAAACCATTAACATATGCTAGTAACGTGTTCTTGATGTTGCACTGCACTTCTTGATTTTGTTTCTTACATATGAGATAATTACACGTTGCAGCTTCTAAAAAATATTGGGGAAATCCTTAAAGCTGGTGGTGCCAGCTACTCATCAGTTGTTAAGACAACAATTCTGTATGAATTCCTCGCTCATCCATAGTTGGGTATCATTGAATTCTGACAAGATTACTAGTTTTTGAACATTTATTTCCTGCAGATTGGCTGACATGAAGGACTTCAAGAAAGTCAATGAGATCTATGCCAAATGTGAGTTCTTTAGTAGTGATTTGAATGTTTCCTTGACACAGTTTACATTCTCGCAGAAGGCGAAGTCTGCACTAGCTAGTTTAGGTGGAAAACTGAGCAGTGTCCTAAACTTTTACACATTTTTCATTATTATCTTTTAATAAAAATAGTTAGCCATCCATTTCATATTGCAGATTATGAAAGCCCCGTATTGACAAACTGCTAAATTGTGCTAATTACAAACGAATTTCACTTTTCACAATAATTTATATCGTGCTGTAAAAATTTATCCTGCTTAATATGTGGGCTGAGAACATGTTAGCCTGTTATGTAACATGCATGTAGCATGACTGACCACTGACCAGCTTTTAGATTGAAAACTCTTATAGATATAAAATTATTAATGTAACTTCACCCAAAAGCTTAAGCTATTGGGTAGATGGTTGTTTTACATGGTATCAGAGCTGGAATGACTAAGTGATCACGAGTTCGATTTTCACAGTTGTCCCATTTTATAGTGGAATTAGGTAAGTACAAGGTAAACCAAAAAAATGGGCCTGTGCAATGTCCTCGCTTCAAGTTCAAAAAGCTCTTGCATGAGGGAATGTGTTAGAGAGATCTAAAATCATTATTGTAACCTCCCCAAAAGCTTGGGTCGAATTAATTCTTTACAAATATCTTTATGCTTTTTCCGTAGTTTAAGTCCGGAAGAATAAAGATTCATCTGTTAGCTTGTCATTAAGTGATTCCGGAGGAAATTTATAGGTTTTTTTTTTTTTTTAAGTTTTACCTTAAATATATGCCAAGGGTGAATGCTGTATGATAAGTCTTTCCACCTTAGTTGGTATTCTTTATTTTTCACTAACGCCTTCAGTAATTTGAATAATCTTCATTTACCCGTGGTTCAAATGGTTTCAGACTTCGCTTCACCTTTCCCAGCTCGTTCAACTTATCAAGTAGCTGCCTTACCATTGGATGCCAAGATTGAAATCGAGTGCATTGCGGCACTGTAAGCATACATCAGAAAAGCCAGGTTAATAATGCAGGAGGGAACATGTCTTAGTATTGGAGTTTTACTTTGGCTTGTTCACTTGGATGCTGTTGATCTTGTCATTGCATTTACTCTATTCCTCGGACACTCAATATTATATGCCCTTTAAAAGTGAAAGAAACTTGGTCATTGAAAATGTTCTTGGGTGTAGCTTTTGTAATATTGTCGCATAAGAAGAATTATGGGTGAAGTCAACTCTGCTTGTTTTAAATTAAATCAGTTTTTTTTTTTGGTAAATAAATTAAATCAGTTTAAGTGGGAGATGTTTTTCATTTTTATTTTATTTTGTTTTTTTAATTTCTCTACCGGTCCATAGATTAATTGGCTACCAAATTGTAACTTTAATTTTAATTCCTCACCGCCAAAGATTGAGTTTCCGCGTATCTAGTCTTGGGAATTTTTATATTATGGTTTTTAATGTTTTCATATTGTGGGAGAATTTTTTTTCATATTATAGAGACCTTGTATGGGATTTACATCTATTAAAAAAATAAAAGAAAATATTATATGAAAATTGAAGAATCAGTAGTTGGAGAAAATAATTCTTTAGAGAAAATGTTTTCCCTTATATTATAGTCAGTACGGGTGAAAGTGGGGTTGAGTTGATCTACGTCCTAGCATATATCAGGCTAGACTCAGTCTATTACATATAGTCAAATAGAACATGCTCGGATTTTTATAAAAGCCTATTTAGAAAGCAGGTTATAGTTTTTTTTTACATGTCAGGTCTATAAGCCTGAAGCCGGTTTATATTATATTATTTATTTTAAATTAAATAAAATAATATTATTCATAGTAGTACCAAATGGTGACAGTTCACTTAGTGCATGTGAGCTGAGTAGGTGGTGAAGGACTTAGGTTCGATCCCCCATCAATTCTACCTTTGGGAGTGACATAAAATCTGTATCAATCTCCATAATAGCATCAGAATTAATATTTAGTACTGGAGGAAGAGTTATTGATATATATCATTCTAGATTGGCTGAAAATACCTTTCAAACTTTAAAAAATGGTAGAGATTGGCTACGTAAAAAGTGTGGCTTAAAGAAAAAAACAAAATGTGTAAAAAGGTTTTTTTTTTTTTTTTTCTTTCTGTTCTTTAATCTTATTTTTTTTTTTCTACATTTACAAATTGTTTGCCAACTTATATAACCTTGGAATTGTATTTGCAGGGGAGAGAAGATAATGAAAAGTTTTTGGCTTACTACAAGCATCATGATGCATTTGTTGGATTCGTGCAATTATTTTAATTTACATAGTATGGATTGATTTGTTGAATCTGATGAAATATATATTATTTAGTTTGGACATCTTGCTTCTGAAAGTGACTTAAATGCAGATTGTGATAAGTTGTTGTAATTCATGATTTTGTTTGAACGTTGAAATTGTGATTTTTGTTTTAATAATAAAATTTGAGAATTTTGTGAAGTTGATTCATGTTCTGCTTGAAAGTTAAAAATTAACAGGCTAATGGCTCAGGCAAGGCCATTTGTTTTTTTATAAATGTGTCAAGCCAGGCTAACAGTTATACTCATACTATGCTATCGAGCCAGATCAAATTGAAATTTTTGGGCATAGGCTTGGGCTTTACGGGATAAAGCTCAACCCAACCCAGCCCACTTTCACCCCAAATAGTCAGGTAGTGATCCAGCTAAGTTGTGGATCGAAAACAAAACTAGCGACTGGGGGGAAATAAAATAAAATCACTAAAATATTACAGATTGTTAACACATGTAGAATATTACGGAGTGTTCATGCTGGTGGGCTGTAATAGCTTTCTTGCATTTCAGATGCTTCTAGATCCATCCTTAATTGACATCTTCTTGGCATTCTTAAGTCGCTCTACATGCCTTCCTTTTGTGGGGGCTTGAGCCCTTTTTTGTGTTGTGAAGTATATTGTTGAGTTTGTTCCTGGTCCTTTTTTTACCTGGTAGTTTGAATTCCCCTTTCTTTTTCATGTTTACAGAGTTGGATTCTTAAAATTAGCCTAACTTTATTGTCGTGACTTTGATTTTGGAATGGCTTCCTACGCCTGAAGACTTGAGTTTGGCGAGACGGTGTTTTCTTCTTTAATTTTAAGTCCGACTTCTCTTGCCGAGGCTTTTTAATTTGAGCCTCGTTTCATTTACGATGACTTATTTTAGGCTGGCTTTTTTCGCCATGAACACTCCGTAATTTGAGCCTCTTCCCATAGCGATTTTGAGCGGGTCAACCCACCAAACGAAGAAGAAAATACTGCAATACAGAAATCTTAAGAAATTATAGGGGTTAGGGTAAGATTGTGAGAGATGCATCCTATTTATATTTCTCACTAAAAAGTCTCACAAAATCCACACCAATAGAAAATCCATTAAAATCATAAGATTTTTGAATACCACAAGATTTTTTTTCCTTTGTTTAAAATTCTGATTGAATACCAACGGATTTGGACGAACTCTAAAATAATATTTTAAAATCATAATCGAATACCACGTGACTTTTTTTCAGTTCTTTAAAATCCTAATCGAATACCAATAGATTTTTTTTATCCAAAAAAAATTAATTAAAATCCTTTAAAATCTCAATCCATACACCCCTTAATTAACATTTATCTTTCTCTCTCCTCTTTAGATTTGATCTACCGATATTAGAGAGTGGTAAACAAAGGTAGACCGCAAAGAAGTAAGTAGAATAACTTATCTCATTTATTATTTAAATTGTAATATTTAAAATAAAATCCAAAAATATATTATATGAAAACTACGTGATGACATGATGACATCAATCCAAGATCACTCAGAACATTTTAAAACGACATATGTAAAGATGTTATCTGCTTTGTCAAAGGAACAAATCCCATAAAGAGCACGAGCACAAGTCGAAGCAACCGCTTACAGAAGCATTCGAACGTGTAAAAAAGGTAACTTTGGTTGGTATTCTTGCTTTCAAAGCAATACCCATAGATCTAGATATCTCATTGAAAATTCTTGTTTGTGTCTTTCTGCTCTGCAGCTGATTCTCTGCATCTTTTTCTTCTTCATTTGTACTCGCTCCACCTTCTTCCTATTTGTAAACCCTTCATCTTTTTTTATCATGGTTTTTGCGTTTCTTTTTTATTTTTAAAATGTTTGCTACATGTGGTTGAAAATTCAGGATGTTCTTTTCATTTTTGAAGCTGGGTTCCAGCAAAATTTCAAACTTAATTGTTGTTGAGATGTATAGCCCATTGGATTAGTATATTGCTATTGGATCTAGGTACCGTCTCCAATGTATCTATAGAAGAGATATATTGAGTATCACTGTGCGAAAATAAACGGCTTTGCCAAATAGTCAGAGAGAGCGCATACCGTATTTTACCTCTTATTTATAGAGTTGATCTGTGCGTGCGAAAATAAACGGCTTTGCCAAATAGTCAGAGAGAGCGCATACCGTATTTTACCTCTTATTTATAGAGTTTTTACTCGTGGATAATGGATTCTGGACCTTTAGTGCCTCTGATGATGGTCCAAGCCCATATGTCATGATGTCGTAATAGGATTGCCTCTTGTTGGGCTTGTCAATTAATGAGATATGGGTCCATAACAATTGTATTAATAAATTCTGGGTTTTGTTCTTTCTCAGTTAATCGTGTGGTTACTGCATATCGGATAAAGATTTGAGAAAAATAAATTATTTTGAACAAGTATTGTGATTTTTTTCAGGTTCTTAGTTATCTGCAATCTAAATCATGGAAGGTATTGTTGTGAGAAGAGTCATTCCCTCGGATAATAGCTGCCTCTTTAATGCAGTTGGGTAAGCAATGGATTACAGACCCTTTTTTCATGCGATATTGTTGCTACTAATGATTCCACTTGTAATGTTTTTTCTCCATTTTATTATGTTTTCTCAATTCAGATATGTTATGGATCATGACCAAAACAAAGCTGCTGAGTTGAGACAGGTAACTTGTATTATTATTTTTGTTGTTGTTATTTTTTATATATAATGGGAGCACTGAGGTTTGAACCGATAATCTCATGCAAACTACCTAAATCCCTCACCACTAGACCAATCTTAGTGGCTTAACTTGTATTATATTTTATTTGCTATAAATATGCTAAGTGCTTGCTATCATCCAACTGTTTCATTTCCTTGCGTGTTGGGTCAATTTGGTTCTAGAATAGAAAACCAGATAAGGGGAGTTCATTGTGCTCCCACCGAACCTTCATTTCTGGCCAGTGAAATTTTGTCTCTGATGATTTTTTTATTCTATTAATCATATGTAGTGCTACTGTGCTATGCTATGCAATTCAAATGTTATATCCAACTTAATTGAATTTACTTTGTTTCAATTTGAATTAGCTTCTTCAACCAAAATATAACTATAGATATTTTGTAATTGTCATTTGTGAGACAAATATTCCTTGTAGACATATATTATCAAAATTCAGGAATTTTTTTTTTTTGGAAAATTGACAATTGGATTTTCAATCATTCAATGGTTTCTACAAATGCGAAGGATGAGTGAATTGTGTAGATATAAATGTTTTGCTGGACTCTAAACCAATGACTTTTAGTTGTTTTTTATTCATGTAGCACATGGAGAATTTTTCAGATGCATCTGTAAATGATAAATGATCATTGATGTTTTTTTAGTAGGCGATCATTGATGTTTTATATAAGGCTCTGCATGCATGTTTTCCACCTTCTCTGGTTGTTCTCAATTCCTGATGTAGGACTTAAGTAACTTATCAGGCAAAACTCCATATTTTGTCATCAATCCATCAGAAGTCCCCCATAGTCCACAAAGCCCCATGATATACTCTGGTCCATATTTTGTCATCAATCTTCCCTTCATTTTGTAAGACATATCCAAAATACCTAAAATGTGCACCTTATGGTATGAGGTAATCCTCAATATTCACCTCCAAAACATCACTACTCTACGCATGCTAATTGTCCTTTTGTCATGCTTTATTGCCAATCTTTACTTAAAAGAGGAGGATTGAGTCAGGCCTTCAACAGCCAATGCAAAAGTAAAACTTTGATGAATCATTATGCTATGGATCATCGGTGTTTTGAAAAGAATCTTAATTACTATCAAATATTAATTATCTACCACTTCTACCTGAATTTCTAATGTCTTATTGTACATTAGATACAGCTAACAGATCAACTACTCTTTGACCATTGCTTTAGAAATGAATCATCAGGGGATTTTAATCAAAAAAGGAATCATACGAGCTGCCTAAGAACCTAAGAAATGCTAACCACATATACCATAAAATAAAACAAACGAAAAAAATAAAGTAATCCCAAAACACAGATCACAGACAGATTAGATAATCAGTATTGACCTGAATGCATGATCCCATATGCTGTCAACAATATCCCAGTCAGCAACAAATCCATCTTTTAACGGATACTGCACCTGATCGTATGGAAGAAAAAGATAACTACACATATTCATTATAAAAAATCTGTAAATTATTAATCAAAGCCTAATCAAGAAGACCATTACAAAAGGGGGTTAGAGTCTGTGAAATGTGCTTCTTCATGGAATATGCTGTTGTGTGTGGAACTTGTCAAGCTCTTCAATGGAACACATCAAACTCGTACTAGGAGTCTAGGATATGGAATCTTCACTGGAATTCGCCAAACTCTCCAATGGTAATCAATTAGAAGAGCATGTAAGCTTTGTCGCATAGGATTGCAAACTCTTCGACTCACTGGAACATAGAGGGGGAAACCAAAATTGCGAACGAAGACTGGGTTTGCGATTTAAAAATTGTGTTTCAATCCAACATCAAATGGAAGTAGAAAGGGGGTTAGGGTTCGTGAGTTGTGAAATCTGGAATTTGAGGTTGGCAGATATGGTTTGGTTAATTCTGGTGAACTGAATTGATTAAGGTTCAGTTAACCAAACTTTTATATATGAAAGAAATCAGTTCAGTAAGAATTAATTTAAATGGTTTGGTTTTTTTAGGTGTGATTTAGTTTGGTTTAAAATGGTTCTGTGCACACCCCTAATACCACGCAATGCTGTCCATGAAATTACTTGCAACTAAAAGCGTGTCATCATGAAATCATGTATTTCTGGTTTTTTTCATATATGAAATTATCAGTGAAGTGGATCTTTTATACCCTTTGTATTGCCTAATATTTTTGCACTTTGAGTATGTTATCAACATCATTTGTTTACATAATTTGAGTTAACGTTTTGCAATATGACATGCTAAAGGTTATTGCTGCAACAGTAGCAAGTGATCCTGATAAATATTGTGAAGCATTTCTTGGGAAGCCAAATGCAGAGTATTGTAACTGGATTCTTGACTCTGAGAAGTGGGGAGGTTAGTTGACCTACGTCTTCCTAATCATTGCTGTTTTAATTATAAAAATATGGTTATCAATTTTTGCTTTGCAAGTTGGAACTGCTACTTTTGGTATTCTATTGTGGTCAGTGTATGAATGTATAACATCAAGTGCAGATAACTCATTAATAAAATTTAACTTGCTGGCTAAAATTTAGGTTGATTTAGCATCTATAATTTTAACTTGCTGGCTTTTAATAAATTTTGCTAACATAAATATAAAGTATATATGAGTGAAACCACTCCCCATTAATCCTCGACTAGCGACGGTGGGGGTGTGAGTAATTCTTATACGTATCCTTACCCTTGCATATCTGCACAGAAGTTTTCTCCCAGATTTAAACCCATAATCTTTCAGTCACAAATATAAAACAAAGTATATATGATAATAGATTATTTTCCTGAAACTTTAAGAGGCATAAAGATTAAATTAAGATCAAGAAAATTTTATGTAAACATCTGGATATCCAGACATTCACAATTGGAAGTTCTTAGAACTTCAGTTGTTTTGTTTCTAACATTAGCCTTCTGATATAAATTTTATGGGTCTAGATTTTGTAGTTGATGAGTTTAGCATCATTTTCAAAAGGTATTTCAAACTTTTCTTGTAGCTAATTTAGCAATAAAGCACTACTAGTTTTTCCTTAGTTTCATGTGCTAATTAAGCTATATTCCTTTGTGAAGGTGCAATTGAACTTTCAATATTAGCAGATTACTATGGACGTGAAATTGCAGCATATGATATCCAGACAACACGATGTGATTTGTATGGTCAGGTTAGCCATTTCGATGTAGTTTATATGCTTTCAAGTTTTGTCAACCTCTTATAACTGACTTTTTCCATTCTCTATTTTGGTGAATACTTTTGACAGGAAAGTAAATATTCTGAAAGGGTGATGCTGATTTATGATGGTCTCCACTATGATGCATTAGCTGTATGTAACTTCATATACCAGAAATTACTAATCATCCCATTCGTTTTCTTTCATGCATTTTTATTGTGGCTTGAGAAGTGAATTGTGAGATTGCTAGTATATGGTATTTATATTTATCTCCCACACATGAAACAAATACAAAATTAAGGTTCATATGTATTTTTTTCATTTTTATGGTGCCTGATGATTACACCTTGTACGGGTCAGATGTCTCCCTCCGAGGGAGCTCCTGAGGAGTTTGATCAGACCATATTTGCTGTACAGAAAAACAGAAGCATTGGACCTGTTGAGGGGCTTGCTCTTAATTTTGTTAGAGATCAACAGAGGTAGCCTTCAATTCTTATTGAACCTTTATCTTAAAAGGAAGCTTGAATATGTGGAAAGAGATGAAGATTAGCATGTTTAGATGGTTGAATTACATCAATCTTCATTTTTTGGTTTCTTTAGAGCAGTTTTGTTGTGAATTTCCATATATAAGGTTTATTTTCTCTTCTTTTTTTTTTTTGGCATGCATATTTAAGGTTTCATTCAGCGGACTTATTTTCACAATTTAGCACCAGAACGAAGCAGGGAATGTGATGCTAAGCAGTTGGACTATATACCTATACTGTGATAAGCTGAAGACTTAAAATTTGCCAAACCTTTACATTTTCTCACTTTTTTTTGTCAAACCATACAGGTGAAATTATTCACATTTTTGAAGTGAAAGTGCACTGTCTACCTATGCTTTGAGAACAAAGACTTGTTAATAGAAAACTTGAATTGTGGTGAAGCACGATGGAATGTAGGGGGCATTTGGTAGAGGAGATATTTTTTTTTACTAGGGAAACATAATTAATGGGGAAATAGTAAGAAAGTGAGTTTGATGGAAAAGTTTAAAAAAAGATGTTTGGTTCACCGAAATATTACCGGGAAAATTTATGTAAATTTGCAAAGTCTATGTTTGGTTGAATGTAAAATAGTGATGGGAAAATTGGTTGAATTGGCCAAAACACCCCCATTATCAATATTTTTTAAACAAACCACTACCTAAAAATGAGAGTCCAACATCAATAACTTGGTTTCCTTAAATATCATTTCCCCACCTATCCTAAGATACCACACCCAAAGTGGTATTTGTGAATAGTTAGTTTGAGCAAAAAAACAACACAAATCTAATTGCCTAGGCTTCCTATTTAGCTAGTCTTTTTATTCCAAAACTTGAACCAAACATGGTCTTTTTCAATACCCACCCACATTTCCCCATCAAACTCAAATGAAAACCTATACTAAACACACCCGTAAAGGATTCACGTTAAGTCAAAGCAAGACTGAATATTTGAAGTGTGAGTTTTCTCTAGCAAGAGATGTAGACCAAGATCCCGTTCATCTACTTGGTGAAGAGATATCCAATAAAGATGCTTTTAAATACCTGGGATCCATTTTGCAAAAAGGTGAAGAGATTGATGAGGATGTAAATCATAGAATTAGAGCAGGGTGGATGAAATGGCGTAGTGAATCTGGGTTTTTGTGTGACCACAAATCACCCTTAAGTTAAAAGAAAAATTCTATAGAATAGCAGTAAGGCCTGCAATGCTATATGGAGCTGAATGTTGGCCAGCACATAGGCAATATGAGCATAAAATGGGAGTAGCAGAGATGAGGATGTTAAGGTGGATGTGTGGTTATACGAGGATGGATAAGATAAGAAATGAAGATATTCGACGAAAAGTAAGAGTACTATCAGTGGCTAAAAAGATAAGAGAGCATAGATTGAGGTGGTTTGGGCACGTAATGAGAAGGCCCCTGGATGCTCCAGTCAGAGCAAAAGTTTGTTACCAAGAGCTCAACACAAAGAAAGGTAGAGGTAGACCGAAACTTACTTGGTGGAAGGTAGTAAAACAAGACTTAATGGAGTGGGATATAGATTGGCGGACGGCGTACCTTAGAACGGAATGGAGAAAAACTATAAGCATGGTGGAGGGTTAGACCCGTTGTTATTTCCTATGTTCCAGATGGTCCCTTTTTAGTCCGTTTCCTTTTCTTCTTTTCCCCTTCTTTATATATATATATATATATATATATATATATATATATATATATATATATATATTATCTTTTTTCAATCCTTTCATATCTTTTATTTAGGTTCATCTACCCCGACCCCAATTAATTTAGGATAAAGGTGTTGTTGATGTTGATTTAATTTGCATATCATTTCTAGTGGTCTCTTCAAATTATTTCTGCTTCCAGATCCCTGTAACTTATGTTACGCCCATGCTAATATTATGGCTGCACTTTCTCAGGAAACGGAGCTACACTGACACTGCCAGATTCACTCTGCGCTGTGGGGTATGCCAAATTGGAGTAATTGGTCAGAAGGTCACTCCTCACTCAGTAACTGATGCTTTGCTTAATGTTATATGTGCTACTTACCCACCTTAATTAGCCTAATCTCTTATAGTACTTATGATTGAGTAATGATTTTTCTGTGAATATATTCAGGAGGCAATGGAGCACGCGCAAGCAACTGGTCATGTTAACTTCCAAGAATATAGATGATAGATACACTGCGAGATACAAATTTACATGTGTTAGTCTCGGTTGATTTGAATGAGCATCTCTAGTAAAAGATAGTTGCTTTGTTGCAGACAGTCAACTTCTTCTTCTTTTTTTTATTCAAGGGGATCAAAGTGGATAATATCTGCCTGGGAATTGTTGTGGCAAGTTGTGTTGTAACTTGTAATAATTTGTTGTAATAAGAAATCTTCTATATATATATTTTATTTTATTGGGGGGGGGGGGGGGGGGGGGTAACATCTATATTATTTTCCCTGTAAAGATTTGTTGTCAACTTAATTTCACTGTTTTTCTGTATTCAATTTTTGGTACAATAGCAGCAACCTAATGCCGCTATTTTTAACCCAAATTGTTAATGTTCTGGATTTTATATATAAAAGCGTACCCTTCTTTTAATGATATTATATAATGCCTCACAAACTAATTTACTAGGGCTTGATCAAGCCGAAAAGCTTGATTGTTAATCATGATTTTCAAATTGTGAGGAAATTTCTAGGGCTGTTTGATGATAAAACAATAAAAAAGTTTTGAATTCATTGTAATTTTTTTTATTTATTATTTTTTTTAAAAGGTAAAAGTGCAACGATTTATGGGTTTAAAAAAAAAATAAGATTGTACAAGTGACCGATAACAATTTTTTGGTTCGTAAAAATTAACCACCTAATTTTGTCACCACTGATTATTACGTACAAGTACTTCATCAAGCCAAATCCTATTAATAAAGATATGATATTAAAAAAGATTTATAAGAAATTTTAATAGGAGCGTTTTCATTTCATTTCATTTCTAACAAGAAGAAAAAAGTAAAGGAGATCAACAGGAACTAGCCAAGTTCTTTCACCCGAACCCAGGTCATGGCAGCACGATCTAATTTAAAAACATGAACCCATTCCATCATATTTGAATGGAGGAGTTTGAAGAAGAATAAGAAAAATATATATATTTTTAGTAAATATCTTTTATTTAAATTTTGTTTAAAAGACCCACAATGCCATGTACCGAAAAAGAAAAAGAGAAAGAAAAGACCCATAAGGCCACAACCACAACAACTGAAACAAGGTTATCATGACTTTCTACCAGTTTTATCTCATACTGTCATTTCTTTTAATTTTTTTTTTATCCCTTTTTCATTTTTGAGAATTTTTAATTATATACGCATATTTGTAAACATTTTTCTAAAACAATAATAGAATCCATTGAACAGATTCCTATCTGTCGATTTATAATTATAGCAGATACAAGAAGACAAATGCAACATATTTAAACATTACGGATGACAATGACGATTGATCATCTTTATTTTAAAAAGCAATTACGAGATGGTAAGCTATCATATCAACTAAACACTAGTCACTCACTAGTCTAATTTTAGTTGTTGTTACTAATAGAAATATTGTCATCTTATATTGAGATTGAGAGGGTGATGTATTGTGTACGTGAGCTTTAGTGTGTTTTTTTAAGCCGATGAGCCAATATAGTACATGAAAATCATATGAGCCAGTAAAGAAAAGCATTATTAGAATACTGCCAAATAAGTAGTTTTGCATAGGTTTTAAATTTTTAATTATTTAGCAATACTCATGGAAAAAAGATCTAGGTAAAATTTTATTATAAAATTAAAAAATATTAAAATTAATTCACATACATTTTTATTATATAAGTCAAAATAAACTTAAATAAAAAGAGGAGAGATGTTTTGACTGGTGTAAGACTAAGTCTTATTTTCCATTTCAATCGTTAATTTTCGTTTATCTAACAAATGGATCTTTTGACTTCAGTGTAAAACTAAATGATTTTACTCCTCATATCTTAAATATTGATTTTCATTCATCTAACGGCTATAATTTATTTAAAATTAATAATTAACTAATTGATATAACTCAAAAAATTATAACCGTGTGGTGGGACAAAAATAAATAGCTTGAGATTTGAGATGAGCAGTAAGATTTCTAAATTTTATACCGGAATTAAAAGATCCTTCATCTATTAAAAATATTTACTATATGCAAAAGCATATTTTATATTATAAAAATATTATGATGTTAAGAAGAGTTGGCTCGTCTAGTAATTCTCCACCTATGTAAATGTATAGTTTAGATTTGAATTTAAAAGTCTCGTGTTAGTGGATCATTTTAAAACTTAATCTAAAATTATGACATTTGGAGCTTTTATTTTGGTTTTGCTAATAGCAAGATATTGAGTTCAAAGTACGACCGGCAGATTAGGAGACACACATTTATGGTTGGAGCAGAATTTTGTGCTGTGAAGTCATTGAATAAAATAAATTTGATATGTTATGCCTATCCACATTGTTAATTCATGATTGATCAACAAACAAATTTCGATAGTGACGATGGAAAGATTTAGTTGCCACGTAATATTTGGAATGTTTTATACTATTCTTTTTATATATAGGAAATTTTATGATGTTGAATAGGTATATATCCTTACCTACCCCATATCAAGGTAGAACAAGTATAACGACACCAATACAAATGTTTGGTAGGCTAGCTCACCAATAAAAATATTACATGTTAGTTAAAATTTTGTTTTTTCTGTCAGATTTTTTCTCTCTCCTCTGATGTGTAATGTTCTCATTGATGAGATGCACTGAATCTAGATACAGCAGTAATACCAAAAATTTATTCGTAGGCTAGAGCACTTGCACTGGTGAGTGGCAGTGCTATGAAGTTGGGCCCATGCTTATAATATATGGTTCTTATCTTTGCTTTGAATCGAGAAAATAATTTAATTTCATTATCAAGCACGTTGATAATTAATATGGAGTTATTTTAACTTAATTGATAGTGTGTTAAGTAAATTTTATTGTCCTTGTGGCTTTGCTGAATCGACCAAATTAGTTGAATAATCCATGAATTAATGGAAAAGTTAAAAAAAAAAAAAAAAAAAAAAAAAAACTTAATTGCATTCCAATTTCCAAAACAAGCTTTTTCCAAATTGTTGGGCATACTTAATAATGTAATTAATTTCAAAATTGACAATGAACTGCTGTTGTCACCCAATCAATTATAGCATGAATGTCTTCCGCACATATCTATCTAATATTCACAGCATTGATTGTAAGAATGGTTTGCTTGTTCAAATATGAACCATATGTGGGGAACATAGGCTAGGCACTAGGCAATATATGTTAAATTATTTGTTGAAATCATATCAGATTTTTAGAAATTGTGAAGAATAAGGTTTATTAGCATTCAACCCCGCATCATGTGTTTCATAAAGAAATTGGATGGCTACAAGGCCATTGACAAAACAAACAATGGCCTTCGCTTTTTTTTTTTCTTCATAATATATAATTAACCGATTCATTTGATCACTTATACACTGATTAATGTTTCTTCCTACAATATTTCTTTTAAAAAAAAAAAGTTAGCTTTTTTGGAGCTATTGGGAAACATGCTCGAAGTTAATTGTCAGAAATAAAAAAAAATGATTTTTTTTTTTTTAGAGAAATGCAAAAGAACCAAAAAATTTAAATTTAATTGCATTTAAAAAAAATTGATTTTCAAAAACTAGTTTTTGAACTGAATTGTTTTTTAAAAACCAGTTCTTGAACTGAATTATTTTTGAAAAAATCAGTTCATGAATTGAACTAGTTTATGAACCGAACTCATTTTGAAAATCAATTTAAGCACCAAACTAGTTTAAAAATCATGAACTGAATTGTTTTTTTTTTATCCTTTTCTCTTATTTTTTTATTTTTTCTCTCTATTTTCTTCCTTATTTATTTTATTTCTTCTTTTATCTTTTTTTTCTTTAGTTCTTTCATTTTCTTATTTTTACTTTATTTTATTTTTTTAATTGTTTATTGCTTCTTCTTTTTTAAATTTATGGTATTATTTATGTTTTTATTTTTTCTCAATATGTTTTTACTTTTCATTTGGATTCAGAACTGGTTCAAAAATCACTTTTAGAGATATGCAAAAGAATCACAAAAAACACTACACTTAAAAAACTAATTTTTAAAAATCAGTTCTTAAACTGAATTGTTTTTAAAAACTAGTTCTTGAATTGAAAATCAGTTCATGAACCGAACTAGTTTTTTTTCTTTTTTCAGTTATTTTCTTTATTTTTCTCTATTTCTTTTCTCTTATTTATTTATTTACTCTCATCTTTTTTATTTATTATTGTTTTGTTGTTTTTTCTCTTATGTATTTTTTAAGTATTTTTATTTTTAATTATTTATTACTTTTTTAATTTTCAATATCATTTATATCTATTTTTTTCGTTATCTTTTTATAATTTTTGTTTAGATTCATAATTGATTTATAAAATCAATTATGAACTAATTTAAAACAAGTTCAAAAATGATTACGAAGAACTAAACTAACAGTTCTAAACTGAACTAATAAATTAGGGTTTTGCATTTGTCATGTTGCATGACAAATGCAAAGTTTCCTACACATACATCGTGTTATATTTTTTTCTTTTTCTTTTTCTTTTTATTTTAAACATGGTGGACCCTACACTTATTATCTCTATAACATGGTAAGAGAATTGTCCTACAACATGATACTTATTTTTACTAATAAATTAATTCAGTTTTTATAATTATTTCTTCCAATTCGATTGGACAAGAAAATCGAATGCACATCGGTAGTTGTTTCCTTTTTATAAAAGTAACCAAGTGAAATTGGTCTATAAGATATATCGATCTTATCGATATCGGTGATTCAACATGTCAACTTCAATGCTGCTGTTAGAGAGACTAATAACTACAAATTATTAATGGCAAATATTTTAAGCAGTTGAAGTCCCCAAATTGTGAAAGCGAGAATCCCAAAAGCACTCATGCCATTCAACTTGAAGGATAACCTGGCCACAAGAAGGTGGAGCAGTAAAGTAGTGCTTGTGTGTGGCAGAAAATCATCAAGTAACCAACTTGCAAGTCCTCTTTCGTTACAAAATTTGAAACCCAATAAAATGATGAAATCAGGTAAACAAATTGAAATTCGAGAGAGTGAGAAGCAAGTAAATTAAAAAAAAAAAGAAAAAAGATAAATTATAACCACGTCTCTCTGACGAGCGTAGGAGATGATGATAATAATCTTGTATTACCCTGCCTATTTGTAATTATTTTGCGGATTTAAATTCGTGATTTTTTAGTTATAAAAAAGTAATTTTATTCTTGCTTCATATTCGAACTTAGAAAATATATATAAAATAGGTCTTTAAATATGGTGACAGGAATTCGATCTTTGGGTCGTGTGTATAGAAAAAGTTTACTTTATCCACAATCGCGTGATCTCACTGATTCGAGTGAATTAATACTTGCCTTTTGGCTGGGATACCTTTGGAACAATTTTCAAACAAAAAAAATTAAAAAGATTTATGTACAAATATAAAAAAATAATACTATTTGTAAAGACGGTCCTCGATTGTTGTGATGTATAATGCATAAGGTCTGATAGTATAAATTAATACTATACGTTATGACATTTTCAATTGTTTAGTATGACCATCGTATAATATAAATTTATATAACAGAATTTCTTTATACATTAAAATAATGTATAACTTAATTCTACGTACGAGTGGTGGATTGAGCGCTGAGATTCATTAAAAAGTTGTTTATACAGATAAATTATAACCAGCCTCGTGTTATCTAACACAAAAGGGTACTCCATATTTTTTTTTATGTACAAGAAATCAAAAACGGTAAGTAAGCACCCACCCTGGTTAAATTTTCCTACAGAATACAATTAGACATCCTTCTCTCTCTGAGACATCCAATTTGATCAATCTAGGTAGCTAAGATAAGATGATCTTAATTGATCTCTGGAATGCTCTGAAGAGCAGGCCTCCATGGACGGTGGAGTGAGTGATAGTGATGACTATGGTTCATCAATTGGGCCAAAACCTGATCTACCCTCAACTCCTTCATCTCCACTTTACCAAGCATCTCCTCCAACTGCTTCTTTGAGATCTTTATCTTCACCTCAGTTGTTGTTTTCTTAACATTGTTCGATGCTCCAAAAGAATCACCTTCCTCCGCCGCCGGGAAATCCTCCCAGTAGTCGCCGTCGGTGGCGTGTCCGGTCGATGATTCGTGCCTTATGCAATTGCCCATTCTCTCTGGTTTTGGAATGCTTTGTGATTCAGAACAAGAGAGAGAGAAAGAAAGAGAGGGAGGTGGGAAATATAGATGGGAAATGAAAACGCTTGAAATATAAAAATGCGAAAAGGTCAAACCTAATTTATGACAGGTAGGATTTCATACGTGGCAGGTGTGGGCCCCTGAAGTTAAGGTGTGAACGGGGCTATGGTTGGAATCTACCTTTAAACATTTTAAATGAATAATCTATACTTTTCTCATCGTTCTTAGTTACTTCTTCAGCATTTCTAAGAACCAGAATCTTTGCAAAAGATTTTCTTTTTTTTCTTCTTCTTTATATATTACATATCAGAGAAAAAAATTATCATAAAATATTATAAATTAATTTAACGGTGCGGAGTAAATTTTTACATTGCATCTCATATTTTGGCATACTGTGTTCACAATAAAATTTAGAGAAAAAATATGTGTTATTTTAAAGGATAAAAACTTAAATTCTTTTAAGAGAAATAAATATATAGTGGTTAGACCCACATATTTATTTGTTCATTTTATCTGTATTTTTTTAATAAAATTCAGATAAGAAGTCAAATTTCAAATTTAATATCTTTATTTAAAACATATATTTTTTTTTCTAAAATTTATCAAAAAACAGTGGGATCACAAAAGCTGAAATCTGTTGGCGGATTTTAGGTGTGAAAAGGGTTATCCCTGGAATCTTAGGACTTCTTTCAAATCAAAATAGCTATGTCAGGTGTGAAAACAAATTAGGGAAAGGAATCTTTGAGTGAAGGTGCTCTTTGGCCATCGTGCTTTCACGTGCATTTCCTCGTTTGGCAGACCCAAACACACTTTTTTCATCATCAAAAGTTCATAACCCCAATTATGTATGCAGCTTATATATGCTCCATCCATGAGGCTTGTCATCGTTTCCCATTTTTTAATGGGTTTTATAAGAGTTATGTTGTAGGAAAAGTGATTGTGTAATGTTATAGAGATTCGTTTTGCGTGCCTTAATTTTTTATTTATTGTTTTGTTTTAAAAAGTGTGGGCCCCACAAAATGTTGTGAGTGTAAGAAAGTTTGTTGTGTTATGTTAAAGGATAAAATGAAAACCCTTTTTTAATATACTATTGGACTCGCTCGTCGTTACTTTTTCGGTCCAACGTAGAAAAATGAAAAAAAAAAAATTAAAATAAGTAACTCAACGCCTTTGGAATGTTTCGTATAAGGGTTTTATAAGAGTTATGTTGTAGGAAAAGTGATTATGTTATGTTATAAAGATTCGTTTTGCGTGCCGAAGTTTTTTTTTTTTTTTTTTGCTGCGGACCCCACAAAATGTTGTGTGTGTAAGAAATTTTTTGTGGTCATGTTAAATAATAGATGATAAACCCTTCATATAATCAACAAAATGACCAATTGCTATTTGCAATCGTGGTTTGCAACTTTGCTTTAAATTTGACTATCTAAAAAGCACCGAGTTAATTCGTATCATGCTAACATTCCATTTTATCCATATTTTATAACGTAAATGAATAGCATGTTGTATTTCCAAATAAAAAATAAAAAATATGAATAGCATGTTGAAAAGGACAGCGAAAGGAATCTTTTAATATAAGCTACCTAGTTTCATATCAATTTTCAAATTGAATGTAAAATCTCGTTCATGAAAACTATGGGCTATGTCTAAAGTGTGTCAAAATATATAATTTTAAATGATAATTATTATTAGAAAAAGTGTTTATCCCTTTAAAGGATATAAAATTATATTCTTTTAAAAAAGAGAAAAAGATAAATTATAGAGAAGAGAATGAGATTTTTTTTCTCTCTTTCCTATATAATTTATCTCTATCTTTCTCTTAAAAGGATCATACTTTAAAATAATGCATATTTTTTTCTTATTATTAAAATAACATTCTATCATTATTAGCTATTAACTTCTAAATTTAACATTTATGTTGTTACTGTATAAATTTTTACTTTGCCACACTTAAATAAGAATGAGTAAATCTCACTAATTTTTTTCTGTATCTTCTCTTCATATTGAGACCACTCATTTTTAAGTGAATGTGATAAAGAAAAAAAATCTATAACAAAAGCAAAAATATTTTTCCCCAACTTATTTCATTCATTTATTAACCCTAAATAAGTATAAGTGATTAATGGATATTTATAACTGACAAGTTTTTCTTTTTGGTAAACTATAACTAGGGGTGTCAATATGGGTTGACACGACACGAATTCGACACGACACGAATTCGACACGACACGAATACATCAACACGAACACGACACGAATTTTCATTCGTGTCAAAATCTTCAACACTGACACGACACGAATTTTTTGCGGGTTGACACGACACGACACGAATAACACGCAAAATAGGGGACAAAACGGTAATTGACAAAAAAATTTAAAAAAATAGATCGAAAATAAATAAAAAATTAAAAAATAATAATAAAAAAATAAAATAATAATAATTAAAAATAATACGGGTCGACACGAACACGAATTCATAAACACGAACACGACACGAATTTTTTGCGTGTCATTTTTTTAAACACGAACACGACACGAATTTTTTTACAGGTCAACCCGAACACGAATTTTCGTGTCGTGTCGCGGGTTGACCCGCGTGTCAAAACCCATATTGACACCCCTAACTATAACTGACAAGTTTTATCTCATGGGGAATGATCCGTTTACAAATTTTTTTTTAAAATTTTTGTAAATTATACTATGTACTCCAGGGAAAACATAGTGTAACCTAGTGTTCTTTCGGAAGTACATAGTGTAGTTTATAAGAGTTTGTAAACAAAAAATTTATAAATATAACATCCCTTATCTCATATAAATACATTATTGAGAAGAACAACATTATCATCGATGAGGCTAATTTGTAAACATATATTTAAAAAAAATTATTTAAACAACTTTATTCTATCAATAAAAATATAATTTCAAAAAAAGTTTTTGATTCGGGGGCATAAAATTTTTTCAAAAGTTGGACAGTATAAGAAAATTTATTTTGAAAAATATTTTTTGAAATCTTCATTTTATACTTAAAATGTTTATTGCGATTCTTAAACTTTTTAAATATAATAAGGGAAAAATGTGTGTCATTTTAAAGGATGTAAAGTTGTGTCATTTTAAGAAAGAGAAAGAGATAGATAAAGGAGGAGAGAGAGTTGACAAAAAAAAATAAAGGTGTGGGTCCCACCTCTCTGTAAGAGTGAAAAGATATAAGTTGTGTAATTTAAAAGGATAAACATTTTTCTCATATAATAATTATTCTTCTCAATTCTCAAACCTTATTTATTTTCTTAAAACTTGATCCAAACCTATTATAAAGGTCCAATTGTAATAAGACCCAAAGGGCCTATGCGACATGGTCACAAAGGCAGACCATCTCACATAAAAAAAGCATGGATCTCGTTATATACTTGGCCACCAAGCCAACCAAATTTAATATGAAAGGAATCATTATTATCGGGATCAGCAACTCAGGCAAGTTGGCCACTTTCAGGAATCAGTAAAAGGTTGGCAACTCCAGCTTACCATCATCTTTGCAGAATATACTCTGAACATAGCTGAAAGTAGGGGTGTCAATATGGGTTTTGACACGCGGGTCGACCCGCGACACGACACGAAAATTCGTGTTCGGGTTGACCCATAAAAAAATTCGTGTCGTGTTCGTGTTGAAAAAAATGACACGCAAAAAATTCGTGTCGTGTTCGTGTTTATGAATTCGTGTTCGTGTCGACCCGTATTATTTTTAATTATTATTTTTTTTTTTTAAATTTTTTATTTATTTTCGATCTATTTTTTTAATTTTTTTTTGTCAATTACCATTTTGTCCCATATTTTGCGTGTTATTCGTGTCGTGTCGTGTCAACCCGCAAAAAATTCGTGTCGTGTCAGTGTTGAAGATTTTGACACGAATGAAAATTCGTGTCGTGTTCGTGTTGATGTATTCGTGTCGTGTCGAATTCATGTCGTGTCAACCCATATTGACACCCCTAGCTGAAAGAGGTCACCCCTCTCTACCGATCAAAATGAAAACCACCTTATGAAGGACGGTGATAAACACGGTTCTTAGTATAGGTGGAGAAGTGGGCAGCCTGCCCAGCCCCACCCCACCCCGCCAAAAAATGAATCAGACCGCCTCGCCCCACTTTTGAAAGTGAGCTGAAAAATACGGCCCGCCCAATCCGAGCCTATTTTACACTGACCCGTCTTGCCCTACCTATGCCCGCCAAAAAAGAGCCTACCCCGCTCCGTTTGGCAGGTGGAGCGGGTTGGCAAGTCGAGCCGAGCCAGTTTTGTTGGCCCTAGCACTCAAGCACTATAAAAACAAAGGTTGTTGGCCCAGGTAAGATATCTCTCTTTAAGTACTTGAACCTCCTTAAGAAAAATATTGATTTGAGCGTCGGAGTACCTTCGCAGGTACCCCCAGTCGCTATCATTCAACCCAGAGAAGCTAAACTACTGTCCAAACATCTCGTAACACACTATCTTATCTCGCCAGGATCCCAAGCATCTGAGCAACAACATAATACATTTCCTTTTCTTCATCAACATCTTCTATCATTAATCACGTGTAGTTAAGCCCAACCCAATTGGTGTTAGATTGATCAAAACTTAAATCATTTTTATATTTTGAACTCTTTAGTTATTTAAATTAATCATGATGTAATACATCGGCGAACCTGTTTCGGTGCAAATGTGTGCAGTGCACACACAAATTTTTGGAAGAAAAAAGAGAGAGTATATTTTTAGTCCTTAACAAAAATTAAAATTACAAGGCCCAATTTAATATCTTAAAAAAAAAGTTCACTCTCGGTCCCTCTGAATTCGAAAATAGATCTGATTAGTTGAAATCGTAGTTCTTCTGAAATTCAAAGAAGACCTACATTAGTCCCTCAAAAAGATTAACATGGATCTATTTTGAAATTCAGAGGGATCACGAGTCAATTTTTTCTAAGGAATTAAATTGGGTCCCGTGATTTTTGTTGAGGACCTAAAATGTATTTTACTTTTGTAATAAGTTCAAG